TGAATTTTCGTCTAATGTGTTGTGTGTCCTTCGTCATAATCCCCGAAACTGAAGCCATATATTCAAATAAAGAATTTTTTCTTTTTCTTCTACTTCTTTTTCCAGAGCAGTCACACCTTCTCTTCTTCGTATAAATCTCCATTTCCTTCCTCTCTCTTTTCACTCCAAATTTTCCATAGCAGTGCGCACAAAGCGGCCAAAAGACAGGAAAAGATACATTAGGCAGAGAGACCAGAGAAAAAAGGCGGGTCCTGGCGATTTCGGAGACGTCGTGGAGCGGCAGCTGGACGACGACGGGCGACATTGTGTCACCGTGACAACCCTCAGGCTCACAAGTTCCCTTGGGAGCAGCAGCTGACACTAATTTTCTTTTTTTCAAGTTACTCATGATTTCTACTCTCTTATCAGGGTTTTATCAAGCCTAGGGAGGGTAAAAGTATGAGATATCCTTATAGAGTCGTGGATTAGGCCGAGTTGGGAGTTGTTTTTCGAGAATAGGAAGTGTCGCTAATTTGAAAGAAGCGAACGTATGACATCATCTAGCTAGAGAATGTTTGTGTAAACAACTCTAGGGAGTAGGATTTTTTGGATGATCTAGAATCTATTGGGCTTCTAGAACCATCAACTTTGAGCCCATATATCTTGTTTCCTATAAGAGATATAAAAAATTATCAACTGATAAACTGTTTAACAGTTCATCATTAACATTTTATCAGTTGACAATTTTTTGATATCTTTCATGGGAACCGAGATAAATTGGCTTAAAGTTAGGGACCTGATACTCTAATAGAATTTCCATCTGAGTTTGAGCCTTTATATCTCGTTTCCTATAAGAGATATCAATAAGTTGTCAACTGATAAAATATTGATTATATTCTGATGACCATTTTATCAGTTGACAAATTTCTAGTATCTTTTACAGGAAATGAGTTATATGAGCTCAAAGTTGACGTTTCGGAACCGTCGGTTCCAGATCAGACTTGTCAAAAAGAGGACAAAAATATTGCTTCATTTCTGCAGGCTGACCATTTTTCTAAACGAATTCATGTGAAGAATACAAAGTGCTCGGAGCCAGACATGCGCCAAAATTAGCACTTCTTCCCGTGCCAATGCTTATTTCTAGACTAATTTTTTAGAATTTGCAGCGCGAAATTTGCACTTTTCTGCGGTTCTAAGCCTCCGACTCCGTCCATTTTTCCTTGCAGATGGTTCCTACGAATTTTTCTTTTTCTCCAAGTTGGTGTGCTCTCTCTTATCGCGCCGAGGCCCTTTTTGAAAATTCGTTATTTCAAAAAGCCGCGCAAAATTTTTGCGGGTCTCGGCGTGATAAGGGGGTACGATTGCATTGGTTCCGACTGTGGAAATCCTGGAAATCTACGCGTCATTTTAGACTGATTTTGGGCTTAGAAATCCCAGATTTAGGAACTATGGACGTGGTATAAAGTTATACTCAAAAAGCCAATTTTGACTAAAAAAGTTCAAAATCCTCAAAGCTCATAGTCAGTTCAAAAGGAAATGAAGACAATTCCAACTTCCATAGCTTACCGGAAACCATTAGTACTAGAATGATAGCCAAAAGTTTCATAGCGGAGATTGGTTGGACTGACTACGATTCCCCTGAAATGGCTAGTACTAGAGGGGGTGGATTTCCGCATCATGAACACATTTAATCATTGGGATGTTGTATAACTGTACTTCCTTAAAAAGGGGGAAGAAGAGAAAACCGGAAATTGATTTTTTTTTCAGGTGATGATACGTGGCAAATGCAATCGTCGGCAGCAGCAATTTTTCAATTTTCCTATCAAAATTATGATCTAAAAAATCAAAAATTCTCTTCTAACATATTTATTTGGTGTTCTTTCTATTGTAATCTTTGTTTCTTCTTGTCAATAAACATATTTTCTTTGAATTTTTTTTCCAGATCCTGACCTGAAACAGATTTTGCTTTTTTTCCAGATTTTGACTTAAAAATTCAAGCTTTCAAAAATTTTCTCGTGAAATAAATTGTTCAACTCGAATCGTGTTGAATAGTGCCTTTTTGCAGCAAATGAGAGCGAGAACATTACTTTTTGAACAGTTTTCGTCTGGCAATATTTCACACGACTCGCAAAGAATAAATACACAATGGGACAAGGTACGGTTTTCATGTCGAGACCTCTCACCTGATCAAAAGATCTCGAAGCGAAAACGCGAGTTACGGTAGAAAACCAGGCGTTTTAGTTTTTTCTATATTTTTTTTTTCGAAAAATCGATCAAAATCCGTCAACTTCAGCTGAATTTCTCTGAAATTTTGCAAGAAATTCTATTCTGAAAAAAATATTTGTCTTTTTTTCGAAAAATCTATCAAAATTCGCTAAATTTCTCTGAAAATTTGCTGAAAGTTTTGTTCGGAAAAACGGTACGGTTTTCGTGTCAAAGTCTTTCACAAGATCAGGGAATGTTCCTTTAAAGGTATCTATGGGAAAACGCGAGTTACGGTAGAAAATCATTTTTTAGTCATTTTTCCTGGATTTTCTGTCAAATATCTAGCGAATTCTGCTGAAAATATATGAAATTTAGCTTAAAGTTTAATTCGCATAAAAAAGCGAACACACGCCAACGCGCACGAGAGTTGTGTCAAATTGGCGCGTTCTTGGTGAGCGCTCTCTCTTGCCGAACTCTCTGTTCCCTTGTCTCTCGCCGCAAATTTCGACCAGTTTCCTTTCTTGTTTTGTTCTCACAGCGTTCCTCAGTTCTCTCTAGATGTCTGTAGAGCTAAAAATCATCATTTATTAGGTTCAAAATCGGAAAATCAGCAAAAATCGAGTTAAAAACTGTTGCTCAGCAATTCATATTGATTTCCCGATTTCCTTTTTCGCTGAAAAATATATGTTTTGAAATCCAAATGCATACGCGGCAAAGAACGTGGTTTTTTTTGTCTGAGCAAAATTAATTTTTGTTTCGAAAAATTGTTTTTCTTGGAAAGTCAAGTCAGCTTCCTCCTCACCCGGTCTCAACCTCTTATCAGCGAAAAACAAAAATCACCAGTACGATTTTGCTTATATTTTATTTATTTTAAGAAAATACTTTCTTAAAATTCGAAAATTTCGATTTTCCTCTATTAAAATGTGCAATTTTTCGAATTTTCAAATTTTTCAGTGTGCGCAAAACGAGAGAGAGATTCTGACTTAAGCACCTCGTTCGGCATAAACTCGTTTTTGGAGATGAGCTCTGGACGCTCTGGAAATGGTGGCGGTGGCGGCGGTGGACAGCAGAAAATGAGAATTCGGCCATTTATGGTAGGTGTGATGATGACGTTCTGTGTCTGTTTGTGTAGTCTCTTTCGTTTTAAGAGAGAAAAAATCAATAAATATCTTCAATGTCCGGCAGAAAACGACCGTTTTGTTTGGTAATTGAGCTTGAAAATTGTAAAAATTTGAATTTTTCGATAGTTTTGGGGCTCGTCGCGAAATAATTTTGTAGCAACAATTTTTGGCGTCTTGCTCATGCTAATTTGTTACTGTAATTTTGTGATTAAAGTCATTGATTTTTAACTTTTTTTCTTCAAAACGCGCGAGATGAGATTGGTAAGTGACCTAATTTCGAAATTTTCGGTACCTAAAAATTAAAAAATCCTAGAAAATGGAAATTTTTGAGCGTAAAAACAATTAAATGGCCAAAAAGTGCAAAATTTTCAAAAAAAAACCAGCAAAGTCACTGTAAAACCTGTATTAGAAGGGCCTTCTCGGGAATTCCACAATTTTGGTTAATTTGACAGATTTTCATAAATTTTGAACGGAAATTCGTCGAATTCTTCGATGAAAAATTTCGGAAAAAATGACCGAAAAAGGGCCCCCTCTAATTGAAGGGTACTTGTAATAGAAGGGCCCTCCGGAGGTTCCTTGGAAAAATAGAAGGGCCGGCTCTTCTAATACAGGTTTTACGGTATGCGGGGACCAGTGAGTATAACAAAAACGACGAAAAAATTCGAAAATTTCAATTTTTCCTCTTTTCCCAGACAACTGTTGATGAGCAATACGTGACGCAAACATGGGAACTCCTCAAACGTGCCATCCAGGAGATTCAACGCAAGAACAATTCGGGTCTCAGCTTCGAGGAGCTCTATCGCAATGCCTACACAATGGTGCTCCACAAGCACGGCGAACGTCTCTACAATGGTCTACGTGAAGTGATTCAAGAGCACATGGAGGTCGTCCGCGTTCGTATCATCGAATCAATGGACTCTGGCGTGTTTCTGGAGACAATGGCTGAGGCGTGGAACGATCATACTGTTGCAATGGTCATGATTCGCGATATTCTGATGTATATGGATAGAATTTACGTTGCGCAGAATCCGTCAGTCTTGCAAGTGTACAATCTGGGTCTCGAGTCGTTTCGAACCGAGATTTTGAGAAATAACGGGATTGGCGATCGATTGAGAGATTCGCTTTTGGAGCTCATCAAGTCGGATCGAAAATCGAATCAAATCAATTGGCATGGAATCAAGAATGCGTGTGAGATGTTGGTCTCGTTGGGAATCGACAACCGTAAAGTTTATGAAGAGGAGTTTGAGAAGCCGTTGCTCAAAGAAACGTGTGAATATTATCGAGAAGTTTGTGAGACTCTGCTGGCCGGAGAGAACGACGCATGCTTCTACCTGGAACAAGTGGAAACTGCGATTCACGACGAAGCGAATCGCGCATCTAGATATCTTGACAAGGAGACGGAAGTGAAGATTTTGCAAGTGATGGATGACGTAATGGTGGCTAATCACATGAGCACAATTGTCTATATGCCGAACGGAGGTGTGAAGTTTATGCTTCAGCATAAGAGAGTCGAGGATCTAACACGCATTTTCCGCATTTTCAAACGCATCACCGAGTCGCCAGCGGTGCCAGTCAGTGGTCTGAAAGTGCTGTTGAAGGCTGTTAGCGAGTGAGTCTTTTTGAGAAAAACACTTGTTTATTTGTCTACACAATGTATTAGGTGGGGGGCCAAACCTTCTGCTAACGTTGACCGTACGGAACGAACATGTGATTTTTTTTCTTATCAAACATGGCGGAAAGTTCTTTTACATGACTGTTTTCCTGCGCTTTTTGAAAGGTATCAAAATTAGATCATTCTAGGCCCAGCCAATTTCAGGCCGATGTTTGGAATCTTATAGCTGTTTCAGAACATCCTGTCTATTTAATCTCAGAACATTTGCTCCGTGTCGAACTTGGATCATTTTAGGCTAATTTGGAGTCAAATCGACCGATTCTATGGTCATTATCATGTTATTTTCAGCCAAAACAGTGAGAAAAGTCGATTCTGAAAGTCCTGGGTTCATTTTTTAAGTCATTTTCGACCGCGTTTTAGTGATTTTTAGTTAATTTTTTACGGAGTCAAAATTAGATGGTTCTGGGCCATTTTCAACCGAATTTCAGTGATTTTTAGCCAATTTCGAAATGAGAAAATTAGCTTGATTTTTGTAGAGAAATGACGAAACTTTGGCTGAAAATTTTCGGAAAAATTTTTGAAACAAAGAAAACATAACTGAAAACATGTCGAAAACTTGAAATTTGGCGTAAAATTGTCAAAAAGCGCAAAAGAGACACTTTTTTTTCAGATACCTCACCGAAACCGGAACGAACATTGTGAAAAATGAGGATCTTCTCAAGGCCCCCGTACAGTTTGTCAACGAACTCCTCCAACTGAAAGACTACTTTTCGAGTCTCCTAACCACCGCATTCGGTGATGATCGTGAATTCAAGAATCGCTTCCAGCACGACTTTGAGACATTCCTCAACTCGAATCGTCAATCTCCAGAATTCGTCGCCCACTACATGGACGATATGCTTCGTAGCGGTCTTAAATGTGTCTCTGACGCCGAAATGGATAATAAGCTTGACAATGTGATGATATTATTCCGCTACTTGCAAGAGAAGGATGTGTTTGAGAAGTATTTCAAGCAGTACCTCGCCAAACGTTTGTTGCTAGACAAATCGTCGTCGGATGATGTGGAGAAGGCGTTGCTGGCAAAACTGAAGACAGAGTGTGGATGTCAGTTTACACAGAGGCTCGAGAACATGTTCAGAGATAAGGAACTCTGGTTGAATCTGGCCAACAGCTTCAGAGACTGGCGTGAAGGTCCTCAAGGGCACAAACTCACTATGGACATATCGTTGAGAGTGCTGACTGCTGGTGTCTGGCCGACGGTTCAGTGTACGCCGGTTGTGCTGCCACAGGAGTTGGCATTGGCTTATGATGTATGTGTTTTCCCTCTTAAAATTTGAAGCTCAAAAAAATAAAATCCTACCTTTTCCAGATGTTCACTGCATTCTACACTGAAAAGCACACTGGACGAAAACTAACCATCAATACGCTTCTCGGAAACGCTGATGTCAAGGCGACGTTCTATCCACCACCGAAAGCTTCGCAATCCAACGAGGAGAATGGTCCGGGACCATCGAACGCTGGAGGAGAGCCAAAGGAGAGGAAGCCAGAGAACAAGATACTACAGGTCACCACGCATCAGATGATCATTCTTCTACAGTTCAATCACCGCAAAGTGATTTCGTGTCAACAGCTGCTTGATGATTTGAAGATCCCGGAGAAAGAATTGAAGAGATGTTTACAGTCGCTGGCGCTGAGTAAATCGTCGCAACGCATTTTGAATCGTAAAGGACCCAAGGGACGGGATATGATTGGTAAGAAAGGTTTTTAATGGGTTTCTCTTCCAAAATCTCAATTTTCAGACATGTCTGATGAGTTCATTGTCAATGATAACTTCCAATCGAAACTGACACGTGTCAAAGTGCAGATGGTTTCTGGAAAAGTGGAATCAGAGCCGGAAATTAAGGAGACACGTCAGAAGGTGGAGGATGACAGAAAGCTGGAGGTCGAGGCGGCAATCGTTAGAATTATGAAGGCCAGAAAGCGATTGAATCATAATAATCTGGTCACAGAGGTAATTTTTTTTTCTTCTGAGCCATTTCTCCCAACATAAACTTTCCTAGGTCACCCAACAACTTCGACACCGTTTCATGCCCTCCCCAACCATTATCAAGCAGAGAATCGAAACGTTGATCGAAAGAGAGTACTTGCAACGAGATGAACAGGATCACCGCTCCTATTCTTACATTGCTTAACTCTCTGCTCGTGTACTTTTTTTTTATGTCCCCTATATTCCCTACTTCATTTTTCCCCTGGTTTCAATTGGCTTGTTCATAAACACGTAACGCTTTGATTATGCCTTTTTTCTCACTAATTTACATCCTCAATCAGCATTTTTTTTGATTAGGATATGTTTTTTCCACCACGAGTTTCTCCTTGGCGAAATTTTTTCTTTTTTAGATGGGTCGTACTTTTCCTTTTGTCTCAAATTTCTAGCTCTGAAGTCCTGAAAAATCTCCATTATTCTCATTTAAATTATTTTCAGCCTATATTCATCACACTATAAACCTGACACATTCACCAGCCCCCACAAGCTTCTATCAGAAAATTTTGAGACATGTTTCCATATAAGGCAAGAATTGCCGAACTCCCGATTATCCCAAAAGCGTTTGAAATATTCCCGTTCTCTCTCTGATTATAATATTATGTCATATATAAATGCTTCCTCGTGCTGTATTCAGAAGGAATTTGGAATTTTCGAAAATTTCAGCTGAAATTTTGGCTTTTTACCTGGAAAAAAACACGAAAAGAGGAGGAAACATTAAAAATTGTGAACCGCTCAAATTATTACAGTACGCTTTTAAAGGAGTATTTTCCCCGGAATAATAGGGGTTTCGACACGATCTACAGTAATTGCGGAGTTTTTGATTTTTTCAGCCGAATTTTCAGTTTCCCGACAACTTTCATGAAAGGAAATGTAATAATTTTTTCTGTGAATTTAATAAATAATTTACCTGAAAAAAGCAAGAAATACGAGCAAGAAACATAAAAATTCCGTGCCGCTCAATTATCTACAGTAACACTTCAATGGAGCATGCTCCACGGAATATTGAGGGTCTCGACCCGATTTTACAATATTTGCCGAATTTTTGAATTTTAAAATCAATTCTTCTTCCATTTTGAGCTGGAATTTCAGTTTCCTCCTGAATCGCTGTTCACATTCTTCATTCATCTGCCGTTTTTGCAATTTTCTATTTGTTTTCCAGGCCAAAAATTGAATTCCCACCATTTTCCGTTTGAATACTCTAGCGCGGGTGCGGATGGTTTTCGAAAAAGTGTCTGTGTCTCCACACTCTGACCAGCGAGAGAGCAATGTTCAGCATATAGAATAGGAGAGACGACAGAGAAACTGGCGGGCAAAGGCACTCGCCCCATGCGCGCGTTTCTTATCTCTCGCTGTGTTGCGAATCTTGATAATTTTTCAAAAAATTTTGAATTTTCAAGGTCTTAAAAAAATATTTAGGCGAGTTTTCATCGAATATTTCAGGATTTTTCAATATTTTCCCGAGTTTTTATGATGCTTTTCGGCTTTTTCCCTTCTGAATTCAATATTTTTCGATTCAAAAGCTTAAAATTCGATTTTCTACCCTTTTCTATACTTTTTTCTTGTTCATTCGATTTTGGAAAGCTTTAAAAAGGAACTTTGCAGAATTTCACAGAAAATTTCCCCAGAAATTCTGTTTTCGAAAATTTGAAGTTCAAATTTCAGATGTCCGCAGTTGCGCACCATCATTTCGTCATTTTTTTACCGGAAAGCTCAATTTTCCCGTTTTCATCATTAAAATTTAACAAAAAATCAGGAAAAACGGAGAAAAAATATAAAAAAATCTTGAAATTGCTTTCAAGCTTTTTGGCTCGCAAAAATCCAAAAATCGATTTTATAAAATTTGAAAATAGTTGAACAGCCTTATTGCTCGACGAAACACCATTTATTCGCTTTTTTGATCGTATTTCTTCGAAATTTTGGAGAAATTCCGAAAAATTTCAATTTCCAGGTCATTGCTTCGGCAATTCATGCGCTGAGCCAACTCATATAGATCAAATTCAATATGGTAAGCTTCCAAAGGTTTTCCCATCCAAATATCGATTTTCAGTCTCAAAGTGACGATCCACCATGCCTGGAAGAAGGTATGGAGATCAGTGGCAAGTTCAATGGAGCATTCTGTGAAGCCGTCATTCGGAGAGTCGATAAGAGGATCAAAATGAAGGTGAAACTGGAAGAAGAACCGTTTGGAACTCGATTCCTTCTGGATACTGAAATTCCCGAGGATTCTGTGATTGTCCTGGGTGGTACGATTTATCCAATGATTGATGATAAGGAAGTACGTGGAACGATCATCCATATCAAAGATCTCAGTCAATATCATGTTGGTGAGTTGGAAAATTTGCTTGAAATTCGGTCTGGAACACCCTGACAAAGTACTATAAAACCTGTAATAGAAGGGCTCCCTTACTTTGAGACAGTCAAAGTTGTCAACTGAAAAAATGTTGCTGATATTATAATAAACATTTTATCAGTTGGCAGATTTCGAAAACCTTTGACAGGAACCTAGAAAATTGAGCTCAAAGTTTAGATAAACTTTTAGTAGCGGAAATGCTGCCGTCTTAAGGTCGTCGTTGGCAACATTTAACCTACCTTTTCAGTCAAAATTTTATCATCCTCTCCCGAACCTTCTGTTCCCGTTCTCTCTGCTCCTTCGAAATTTGGCTATAGGACACTGTAGGAAAGGTTAAAAAAAACAACATTTCGATATAATCCAACTCTGAACAAATTGATCTAGAATACACAGTAGAGTAGCTCTAATAGAAGCTCACCAGATACGTAGAATTTGAGCTCAATCATCTCGGTTCCTATGCAAGATATCGAAAATTTGTCAACTGATAATTTGCTTATCATAATATCAGCTGTATTTTATCAGTTGACAAAATTTTGACATCTCTCATAGGAACCGAGATAAATTGGTTCAAAGATAGGGCCCCTTCTATTACAAGGTTTACAGTACCTTAAAGGGGGACTCCGACCAGAAATTTTTATTGCATTAAAATGTGTTAAAATTTATCTATTTTTCAAATATTAGGTTGGCGGGAAAGTCTTTGTCACTTTTTCAATAGTTTATTTCTCAAAGAAAAAATAACCGAATAATTAATTATATTGTCCATCATTATCAACAACATGTCTCCAACGTTCCCTCAATTTATGGATTCCATTGCGGTAGAATCCAGCCGGGCGTGAGGCAAAGTATTGTTTGAGTGCCGCTTCGACCGCTCCACGGGAATTGAAGCTTCTTCCTTCGAAGGCACGTGTCATATCGCCAAATAACCAATAGTCGGAAGGAGCAAGATCAGGAGAATACGGGGGGTGAGGGAGAACATTCCATCCATATCCCATCAGCTCCTGCTTCACTTGTTTCGAAACATGTGGGCAAGCGTTATCATGTTGATAGTACACTTTCTTGTCTTTCAGGGCCGAACGGTCGACTGCTTTCTTGAGGTTTCGTAGTTGAGTAGTGTAGAGGTCTCCAGTTATTGTTTTGCCCTCGGGCAGAAGTTCCCAGTAGATGGGGCCGTCCACTCCCCACCACACAGAGAGCATAACTTTTTTCGGATGAAGGTCGGGTTTGGGGACATCCTGTGGGCTCTCTCCTTCTCCAACCCACTGGGATTTCCTGTGGTGATTATCGTAGAAGACCCACTTCTCATCTCCGGTTATTAGCCGGTCCAGCCATCGATCGCCTGCGTGGAGAGTGAGAAGAGTAATCGAATCGTCGACTCGGCGGTCAAGGTTGGCTTGAGTCAGGTGATGAGGTATGAATCGACCAAAAAGTTTTCTCATTCCAAGAGACTTCAAACCTTCAAGGACTGTGCTATGGTGAACTCCGAATGTGACAGCTAGTTCACGGCTAGATTGAAATGGATCCGATTGCAATGCGTGCTTCAGCTTGTCCAAATCCAACTCACGGGGTCTCCCAGAGCGATCCTTTTCATCGAGCGAGAAGTCATCTTTTTCGAAACGATGGAACCAATTGCGAATAGTATTGTAGTGAGGGGCATGTGTGTTGTACACATTCTTCAAGAAAGTTTCCGAATCCTTCATCGTGGTGTGAGATAGGAAGAGGTAAATCAAAACATGTCTGATGTGAATAGCAGTGGGAACAAACATATCGTTTCAATTACAGATGAGGAGCAGGGAAGGAGATGGGGACTTGTTTATATGGAAGGTTCTTATCACCTTGTTATTCACTAAAGTCGATATCATACACAGCCTCCATATACGAGAACAGTGATTAAACAAACAGAGTGACAAAGACTTTCCCGCCAACCTAATATCATTGCGAAAAAATTCAAAGAAAATCCGAAATCCCCGAAAAACGGCGTTGAAAAGGAAGAAAACTCAAAAAAAGGTGCCAGCGGGGGACGAGGATTTTCAGTGAGAAACCTAGGCCACGGCACCTGACAGCCTTTTTTTCAAGTCGCCGACATTGGTTTTTTACGTTTTTTACCTGCCGGACAAGAAATTGAAAAAAATCCGGAAAATTTGCCACGTAGGAAAAGCCGCTGCCGTGGCCTAGGTTTCTCACTGAAAATCCTCGTACCCCGGCGGCACCTTTTTTTGAATTTTCTTCCTTTTCAACGCCGTTTTTCGGGGATTTCGGATTTTCTTTGAATTTTTTCGCAATAATATTCGGAAAATAGATAACTTTTAACACATTTTAATGCAATAAAAATTTTTGGTCGGAGTCCCCCTTTAAACTGTTTGAAGCTCCCAATAATCTACTAAATCATCTAATCCTTTCAGTTTTCAACGATGGCGACCAGAAGAAGCTTCGTCGTACCCAAGTCGTTCGTCAGGGTGCCAAGCACTTTGCCCAGGGCCACTCGCTCGACGCTCTGCCTCTCACCAACCCGGAGCACTTTTCAGCGCCCGTAAAAGCACCGAAACGGCCGTCTGGAGGAGCGCAGAAGACGTAAGGGCTTTGAATTTTATAAAAGTTCTCATTGAAGAAATTTTCAGGCCAAGGGACCCATCCCAACCATCCACCAGCCAAGCTGCTGAGGAAGAGTCTTCTGACGACGAGGAAATGCCATCGACGAGTCTGGAAGCTGTGAGAATGCCTTCAGAAAATGAGGAACCTGAAGAGGCTCCAAAAGAAGAAAGCAAAGAGGAAAGAAAGCAGCGGAGAAAAGAGGAAAGGAAGGCAAAGGAGCAGAGAGAACGGGAACAGAGGGCTCGAGAGAGGATGATAAGGAAGAGGAAGCTTCTGAAGAAGCAAGCGATTCAGGAGTGCAAGGATAGGAGGAAGGATTCGATTGGCAAGATTTTGATGAGACATTCGAGGCGATTCACAATGCGAACTCATAAAAAACGATGGCGGAGACGTTATAAACGGTTAATTCGTCTCGAGAAGTGGCGGATACGCAATCTGAGGCTCCACGCGTTGTACCGTGATTTTACCAAGCGGATCGGCGCCAGTAAGAGCTGTCGATTCAAGAGGCAGTGGTGGAAAATGTCGCCACAATACAGACGAAGCTGTCACCGCGCGGCAAAGATGCTACAGGATAAGCATAGGGTTAAAGAAGTTCGATTTTATATGAAAGGATTGGAAAAGGTGAAGATGCGGCTTCATTTTGTGCTGGTACATGCGGATCGAAATATTGGACGAAAGTTTTTGGAGTTGATACATAAACGGAATCCAGAGGTTAAGGTACAATTTTTGAGTTTTGAGTTTTGAATTTTGAAGTAGAGTTTTCCTTTTTAACCATTTATAAAGCTTCAGTCAACGCTGGCCGAACGACGAGAACTTGAATTCGAAGGAATGGCATCCATCATGCACCGACACTTCACGAACGTCGTCTGGTGGCCAGCGGTTATGTTTCCAGACCCTGTCGTCGATCCGGAAACCGGCGTTGTTAAGCGTAAGCTGAGAAATATCGTTACTGGAGAGGGCTACGAAATGGAGGAGCGAGAGCTAGTTCCATTGGAGTGGATACCGACGATCATGCCTGAGGACGCGGGAGGGATACTGGCGAATGTGGAACAGGATATTAGGGAGAAGTTCAAGAAAGCGTGGAGGTTCGCAAAACAATTCACTTACCATGGTGAGTTTTTTTTCAATGAAACATTTGCAAAGGTAAAGTCTAAAAACAAAGGAATTTCGAAAAACAAAGGAATTTTTTTAAAAAGTTGATTTTGAGCAAAGTTACGAACATTTCAATTTTGGAGAAACAAATTGACAAAAAAAAACCAAAATTGATATAAGTCGTCTCAAAATCGACACTTCTGAACTGATCCAGATCGCCTCTAAGCATGCTCTTCGAAAACATGTATATCCTGGCCTAGTTTTCCTGAATATAGGATTTCTAGGCCACCATACAGAAATTTATATAAATAGGCTCAAAATCGACATTTTCCATGTCTAAAAACTGATTCTGAACCCTCTAAAAATGCTCTTTGAACGATGTACACCACGGCCTAGTTTTGGATTTCTAGGCCATGGGTTAAGACACAACGAAAACTACAGTAACCGTGGAAATGTTTTTTTATGTTCCGGATTCAAAATTTTTGCGTTTTAGTCAATTTTTTCACTGTCAAATAAAAACATTTTTTCGATTGAAAACTCGACGAAAAGCAAGAAAAGAAATCTCGAAAAAATGAGAATTTCAGGTTACTGTAGCTGTCGTTGTAATGGTAGGTCATTGTGGTTCTATATTCAAAAAAACGAAAAAAAATTCTCAAAAGCGAAAATCAATAGTGAGGGTCGGTCGGGAAGTAAGAGAGAAACAGACATTACACAGAGAGAGAGACACACACTGGAAGCACGGCGCGACGACACAACACATACGCATTTTGTATATATACAAAGAGAAAAACGGTTAGCGTATATTATATATGCCCAAAGTTCCTATTTCTTGGTTCTCTGAAAATTACAGCGAATTTTAAAATAGCATAAAAGTGAGATTTCCTTTGATTTTGAGCCTCCATAGGTCAAAAATTTCAGAATTGGACTTCTCGACGATCCGGATCATGCTCAGCCTTCAACGAGCCCGTCACTTCCACCCCCACATTCCCGGACGGTACGCTGCACTCAATGCCAAACTATCACCACTGAAACCTGATCCACCACAACCGTCAACATCCAAGCAGCAACCACCAGAACCCGAAGAATACGAATCTGACGACGCCATCAGAAACGCGACAACCGAGGAGAAGGATCGATTTTTGGCTCTACTCATGCAATCCCACGATTCCAACAATACCATTTTGCCAGCAGAGCCCAAGATTCAGGGTTACGATGTGGATCTATTCTATCTCTACATGCTTGCAGCGCAAGTCGGACCACCTAAAAAGGTCTATGCTGCGAAACCATGGGAGGAGTGGTCTCGGAAACTAGTTCCGCGAGCGATTGATGCTGGAGATGAGCTAGAAGCGCTCTTTCGAGAATGTCTAGAGAGGTTTCATAGCGTCAGATCGAAACTGCATCTACCACTATTGGATTCGTTAGTGACCAATGAGCGAAAGACATTCACCCCTGGACAGTATTCTGAGAGTCGGAAGAAACGACAAACCGCATTGGGAATTCCGGATTCATCGACGAGAGGGACGCCGTCGACAAGAGGTGGAAGAGGTGGAGGTCGTGGAGGAAGGAAACGAAGGACGTCCTTAGACAGTATCAGTGAGAAGAAGAAAGGGAAACAAGGAGAGGATAGCTCACGAGCCACGACAAGCTCACCAGGACCATCGGAAGTATCAGCTGGACCTGATGTGATGGACGATCAGGACGATTCGTCTATTGCGACTTCTGATGATCGCTCATTTAAAAAGAAAAAGTCACAAACTCCAAAAACTGCCGTAAATCGACGAGGTGTAGGAGGTGGAGATGAGGTGGTGGTGGTGAAGAAAGGAAGGCCTCGGAAGTATCCATTGGAACCTCCTCGATTACCAGCACGGGCGGGAAGAATGCCACAGAAACAACGACCGGCAGATGCGACGGATCCCAACTTTTGCAGAGCCAATATGTAAGTTTTGATGGGGAGAATAACAAAATAAAAATCTGAAAATGTTTGCAGCCTGACAGATTTCAAATTCGGCCAGAAACTGCTTCTCTCACACACGATGGGTTGGTTCAATGGCTCTGTCAAAGTGCCTCTTCCAGACAACTCAGAGGAAGTTCTAAACCATATGCTGACACTTCAAAGTTCACTAAACACCATAAACGAGCAAAGTGTGAAGGAGGCCGTCTATCGGGATCTTCACAATATGTTCAAGGATTTGGATCTCCAAACGCATTACACTGGATGGAACGCACGTCACGATGAAAAAATGAAACTTCAAAAGATCAAGGTTCTTCTAGAAGATCAATCTATGTCTCGAAAGAGGTTTTGGAAGTTGCCACGAGGTTCGGAGCTCCTACCGTCTACCATGGCAATCGTTGAGAAGAGATTCTGTATGGAGATGGATACACATGAGAAGCCGAATTATCAACGACTAGCTATGGAAGCGTACAACGCTCGAGATGATGACGTGGCTGTTGAGGAGCAAGATAGCGATGATGACGATGAGGGAAGTAGGAGAAGACGTCGTTCGTCTAGTAGCTCAACAGATTCTAGTAATGGGTCACCTCCTCCTTCGAACGGGCGTCGTCGTGTCGAACTTGAATCTTCGGAAGACGAGGAGGAGAAGCCGATAATCGAGGCTCGTCGCAGAACCAGTTCTCCAGACGAGAATTCTCCGGAAATCGGCGAGAAATCGACGACGCCTTCATCTCCAGAATCTGGCATTTCTGATGTGAGAAAATCGAGATCAGGATCCGAAGAGATTGGTGTCAGATCTTCAAAAACGCCAGAGAGGCCAGAAGAGGAGAAAACCGAAGCCAAAAAAGAGGAAGAAGATGAAGACGTGACTTCTGAAGAGACGGAGACAGATGCGGAGCCAGAAGCTGCGAAACCCATCACGCCCGATTCGGATTACGACGTTCCAGAGTATCCACCAACGCCACAGTTCGCGGATATGGAGAATAACAGTATTCCACCAGTACTACAGAATCATGCAGTCTCATTGGCAAGCAGTGAAGGAAGTTCTACTCGTGAGTATATTTCATTTAAGTATCGGAGAACCTGTGCAAGACAACTACCGTACCCTGAAAATTGCTATTTCTAAATTTTTAACTCGATTCTTGTGCGTTTTCGGCTCCTGGACGTTTCGGAACCAAGACGTTTCAGTACTCGACATATCAAAACCTAGCGTTTTGGAAACGCGACGTTTCAGAACTCGAGATTTCAGAACTTTTCTGCATTTTTGCATAGTGGTTTTTGCACACCGAACATCGGGTTCGGAAACGTCGGGTTCTGAAATGTCAGGTTCTGAAACGTCGTGGTTTCGAAAAAAATCGAAAAGTTATAGGTTACGGTAGTTGTCGTTGTGGGAACTTTGTACTTTTTTTTTGTATAGTGGTTTTTGCATGGGTTGGCATTTTCATGACATTTACATCGAAGAAAAAATTCCCATTAGCATTTGAATTGATGAATCGAACAACACCTCTATACAAGTCGTACATTTACGAATAAATCCATTTTTTGAAGAAAAATTTTTTTGCAGACCCAATTCTGAGCCCTCCTCACACCAGTTCCGCTCCGATGCCTGCATTCCCACCAGCCGACAACATCGAACATTCTGGACCCCTCACCCTTGCCGAAGTTCCACAATCCGGTCCACTCGAGACTGATGAGGTCAGAAGACGAAGCAACACCAACACGTCAATCGAACGTCCGACTAAGCGTCAACGTCGAGCCAGCGAGAGATCGGGACCCGAAGACGCAGCGTTGGCAGCGAAGCGAAGCACATTCACATCGCAATTCTCATCTGGAGCGTTGACATTGGATATGGTGTCTCAGGAACCATCCGGGCCAATTGTGCCGATGACAGTGTCCAAGGGAGCTGGAAGAAGGAGAACTGCATCTCCACCAATCACTAGAACAGGGCCACTCACAGCTTCAGGACCTCTGACACTAGCTTCACCAACTCCGGTTTTGGTCTCCAACGCTGTCACGCCGAAGCAACTTGGAAGACCTAGAAAGACGGCTACACCAGCACCTCCAGCTACCACATCGCCTTCCAAGCAGGTCGTGCCAGAAGATGCCCAGAGAAACGAACCAGAACCAGATGAGGCTGAACAAGCCGGTCCATCCACGTCGCAGGAGCCGACATCAAGTCTTCCACCCCAAGAGAAGAAGATCAAATCTCCAGAAGCCCAAGAGGAGGAGGACGAGGAAGCGGTTTCTCGGGAGCGAAGAGAGCAGAACGCGTCGCCAAGAGGAAGAGGAGGAGGAGTCAAAAGGAAACGAGGTGGTCGTGGCGGATTTGCGCCAGGGAGACAAGCGAAACCCACGGTTGCCAAGAAGACGTCACCAGATGACGAAATGGACGAGGCGCGGTCTGCAGCGGCGACACCGCAGACATCAGCTACACCGACGCATCATAATATACGTGGCGATGGATTCATTGCTCAGAAGAATCGAATGGCAGCGGAGATGGAGGCGGACGGTTCGAGTCACAACTATCATGAGCTGGAACTGGATGACATTGAGATGCTGTTGGCCAAATCACCCAAAGATGAGAATCTGATATTGGAGGAGAAGACGGCCGAGTTGAGAGAGATCTTCCAACAGGTCAAGTCGGATCTATCGCAACTCGAAAAGCACCACAAACGATCGATTGAATTGGCGAAGAGTGAGTTTTTCTTTTATTTTGGTGGCTCCTGGACGTTCCAGAACTCGACATTTCAGAACCCGACGTTTCAGAACTTTTCTGCATTTTTGGGTAGTGTTTGCACGCCAAATGAATGTTTCTCAATTCATTTATTTGTTTTTCTGCGTTTTCATTCCTTCTCTTCTACCGTACACCAAATAATGATAGGCTCACACTCGGAAACTCTCCAAAAATCGGAAAAATTGATAATTTCAAAAAACGATATCTAAAAGTACGTAAAGCAGTTTCACCGGCGAATACGAGTTCCATTTTTGCAAACTTTTAGTAATGACATGATTTTTGAAATGTTCAATTCTCAGCTGTCGGCTTGCAACTTCTGGAGGGAAGTTGAGGGGGGTTCGGCTTTTGGACGGATCATAGTCAGATTTTGGTCAGAAGTTGTCCACTGGCAACAGTCGGACGGACAATGGTCGGATTTCGGCCGGAATTTGACGGCGCTGCGTGTTAAGAAGTCGGAAGCTGGCCGGTAGTTTGTAGGATCTTGGTCGGCTTCCCACAATGTCCTTGTCGGAATCTGATCAAGCTCCGGCCAGAAGTAACTGGCGACGCCTGAGTTGTTTTCGATTTTTGGAGAGTTTCCGAGTGTGAACCTATCATTATTTGGAGTATAGGTGAGAACGAATAAAAAAGCAGGAAAAAAACAACAAATTGAAATGAGCAATACGCATTTGCTGTGCAAAAACCACTATTCAAAAATGCAGAAAAGTTCTGAAACGTCGGGTTCTGAAACGCCGTGGTTCGGAAACGTCGGGGTAAGGCTTAAATTTGATTGATCGAAAATCGGCGACCGCTGACTGGATCCGTGCATTTTCGCGTAAAGATTCACAAAATCTAAAAATCTCTGAAAGTTTCGATTTTTGAAAAACTACATTTTTCCAGAACGCGCTGCCAAAGAACGAGAAGAAGCAGAAGCCCTGTCCGAATCGTCGTCCGCTGAAGCTGCTGCCGAAGAAGCTTAATTGTTATGTACTTTTAAAAAAAATCACCCATCTCACCTAAATATCTCAAACAGTAATTTTGTGTGCTCTCCGGTTATTATAGTTGTTCTAGTCATCGGCTAGTTACCCCCTGAAGCACCACCCCCTATGAATCTCTTGTTCCAATTTGAAAAATGAAATCTCTCTGTCTCTCTCTTCTATTTTAGATCTATTTTTGTGCAGTCGCCCCCCATTGACTTATTTATCACTATATATGTTTCATGTGTCTCTACAAAATACCCTTTTCCCGGCTTCTAACCAATATTTATCTCTATCTCTATTTCACTTGTCCAACACTGCATTTTGCCTTTACACATTGTTTCAGTCTTTTCACACATTTTTTGGAAATTAAAAGTAAAATGTGATGGGAAAGAGTTTTTATATTCAAAATTGTTGTTGATTTTAGACCATAAAATGGTTAGACACCGGAAAAATACTTTGAAAATTCTCAAAAATGTTATTTTTTAAATAAAAAATTCTGCAAAACCCCGTAGTGTGTTTGCACACATCTCCGCAATATTGCGTAAAGTGTTTGCGGACGTCTGTCCACCGTAATACTCGGAAAAATAAATTTTAGCTTGTCCAAAAATGTTTATTATGCTTGTCTGAGAAAAAAAAGGTTGAGACGCAGAGAAGTGTATGCGTCTCCACCGTTTGAGTGCTATTCAGACTCTCCGCTTCGATATCGCTACCGTATTCAGACTGAAAAAAAAATACTCTCTAACCTTTTTTTTCTCAGACAAGCATAATATTTTTGTAAAATTTTTTTCTAGAATTCCAGCTATGAAATTTGGAAAATCGATGAAAATCTGGAATTCTGAAAATTTCAAAAAAAAACCTACTGGAATTCCCGAATCTCCATTCTTCCCTTCCTACCCAGATCGTAACCCTAACTTTGAAAAACCCAATTTTTCAAAAACGAAAATTTCCAATTTCAGAATGACCATCTACAATTTGTACATATTCGATCGTGAGGGTCAGTGTCTGTACTATGACGAGTGGTTCCGAACGAAACAGTCCGGGTTGGCGCCGATTCAAGAGTATAAGCTGGTATTCGGAATGATGCTGTCGATGAAGTCGTTCGTGGATCGGCTGGCGACGAATGACTCGAATCAGACTGTGAACTATTATAAGTGAGGCATTCTGCCATGGGGAACCCAGGGATGTTCGGAATGGAATTCCGAAAATTCCGGAAAAAAATTCGGAATGAAATTCCAACCGTAACATTTCCGAAGCTTTTTTCTAGGAATTTGAGATTTTTGGACTACGGTATGTCGCGAAAGAATTGCATGCGGAAAATTCCGAATTCCGAACATCCCTGCCTTCTTCCACATGGAACCTAGACGAGAACCATAATCTTCCAGAACCTCGGCCTACAAAATGACGTTTCTCGAGTCGGCGACAGGCATCAAAATCATTCTGAACACGGACCCCAATGCCACCGGCATTCGAGACCTCCTCCATCGAATCTACCAGGCGTGGGCGGAGACGGCGAACAGCGCCGCGAATCTGGAGATGTTCGCGTCGACGAATCCGCCGAACGAGAGCTTTCTGAAAAGTCGAGTTCGCGATATTGTGATGAAGCATTCGGTTTATGTTTAGGAATCATTGTTTTTTTTCAATTTTCTGTGCATAAATAAAAAATGTATTTATTAATTTTTTTTTTTGAAAAATCCCGTTTTAAACGAAATTTTGAGTGCGGTTAGTCCCGAATTTTCAGTATTGTGAGCTGGAAATCCGAAAAAAATCACATTCAATGTGTTTTCTCTAAGGCCATGAGAAAACAACAAAAAGTGACGTGGCCTTTTGTTTAGGCGTCCTTCAAGTTTTGTAAAATGACCTTGGTTGTATATATCAGCTGAATTCGGGTGACAATTTATCCACGTGGATTCTGATAGAGCTCATTTGAAGCTCTACCATATATGGTTCTGCTCCAGTTTCCCTCACAATGTCCCTTGTGACTCTTTTCCTTTTTCTCTATCGCTCTGTTGTTTCTCTGCGTCTCTCGATTTCTTGCACTCTCTAAATTTCCCCTTTTTTCGATATTGCGATGGTTAACTCAATTTTTTTTTGCAAACTGAAAAAGAGAGAGCGAAAAGAGGAAAAGAGAAAAAAAAGCAGAGGCAAACACAACGAGAGTTTCGCAATTTATCACTTTTTTTTCTGAAATTTAGTTTTCTAGAATTTTTGTTGATTTTTTTCGGCTAGAAATTCTAATTCAGCCTTAAAACCTGAATTTCTGGAACATTTTACTAATTTCGCGGCCTGAAAATCTGAAATCCGGCTTTAAATTACTTCCTCGTCTTATCACTATTTGACCTAGTTTTCTATTTTTTATCGATTTTGATTGTTTTTTTCTATTCGCAAATGGAATGGAGCCAATATTTGCTTTTTAATTTTGTAAAAAAATGAATTTTGAAAAAATTTCAAATTTTGAAATTTCAGCTAAAAATGTCTGTACCATCCGCACCACCAGACGAGGGAGAGAGTATTATTCGGAGTCCGGTAAGAATTTAAAAAAAACTTTTTTGCGCTATTATTCCGGTACAAAATAGGTCCCACAGCGACAACTACAGTAACCTTTAAAACGTTTTTCGGTTTTTAATTTCTCGATTTTCGTGCGTTTTCAGTCAAGCAGGTCATATAATAAAATAAAAATTTTATAACTTTAAATATTTATACACTTTCAGTCAGAAATATAATAAAATAGATTGTTTGCTAACACTATAAACTCTCTCTCTTTGTATGGAAAAATTCCAAAAATTCCAATTCCAACAAAAAAAATCACAAAATTGTCCTCTCCCCTTTTTCCCTGTTTCACCGATTCCCAACCCTAGGATTAACCGGTTATAATAGTAGTAGGGGGTCTCCATACGCTTTTTGACGACGACCTTTCGTACCCACAAATTTCACATATTTTGATATTTATTAAAACATGTACAAAGAGAAATTCTGTCCGCTGAATATTTGGGATGCGCCTGTGCACTGGACAAGGAAGAATTTAGTGAGTTTTACTATGGTAATCGGTTTCTAACCAGTTTCGGGAAATTTCCCAACCAGATCCAGCCATTTCTGCTCCGGAATTTTCCCGAATCTGGTTGGAAAATTTTTCGAATCTAGTTGGAAACCGATTACCAGAGTAGCACAAATTTTTATTCCTGAAATCAAAGAAAAAACGGTCTACAATGATATTTTTAGCTTCACAAATAAGTCAGAAAAAAATTTTGGCAAACGCGCTTCAACTCAAAATCATGTGAAAAATCTAAATTAAGAAAAACGGTCTAATGAGATTTTGTGAAATTTTAAAAATTCGATTTTATTTCGAAAATTCGAAAACACGAGTAAGCGCTCCAACTCAATACCATAAAAACCAAATTTCGTGATACATTCAAAAATCAGCTAAATCTACATCCAGCTAATCTGAAATCGGTCGAAAATGATCAATTGTGTTTTTTGAGGAACCAAAAAAAAAACAATTCGGGAAAATTTATGAAAATCAGCTAGTTGTAAGCGCGCTCCACCTCGAAATCATGTGAAAAAATGGTGTGAAATAAGTTTTGAAAGAAATTAAAAGATTGAAAAACAATTTGCAAAAATTTCAAAAAACAGCTAGTCGGAAACGCGCTGTAATGTGAAAAATGTTAATCCAGCAATCTTTCAGGATCTCCCATTCGTTTCCTCTATCGTCGGAGGCCTTTTCGCTGGACGTGCCGTCGTTGTCAGTGGAATGGTCCTTCCTGGATTCGCTTCTGATCGGAAGAAGCGAGTTCTCAAGACTTGCAAGTACGCTCTACCAAAATCTTTTTCCAGATTCGACATCGATTTGTGTTGTGGATTGCTCATTGATGGAGACCATATGGACAACAAAGCGTTGCACTTCAATCCACGTTTCGAGGCGAAAGCTGGATGGTTTGTGGACATCTGGACATCCGGAAATTCAGAAACAATTAAAAAAACATTTTCAGGTTCTCCGGACCCGCTGACGATAAGCTAGTGATCAATTCCTTCGTTTCTGGACAGTGGGGAGCCGAGGAACGATTCGACAACCCGTTCAAAGAAGGAGAGCCCTTCCAGATCAGACTTCTGGTTCTTGAAAAGTATTTTAAGGTATATAAATTTGAAAATTCTCAATGGAGCGCATTTTCTATGAATTTCCAGATATCCGCTGGTGGAAAACACGTGTGTGACTACCCCCATCGAGTTCCAGTCGAGACGATTCGGACGATTTCCATCAAGGGCAACATTCGGGTGGACTACGTGGAATTTCAGCCACCGGTAAGTAATCGCGCTCCAATGACAAACAGATGTCATTAGAGCGTACTTGCTGACTTCCTCTCAAATCTTATTTAGGAGGAAGGCGCGCCGACTGAATGACTCTCTTCTACCCCACTTCTTGCGCATTTCTCTCCCATTGTAACTTCTGAATTTCAATTTTCCGCCATAATAATAATTCAAGTTTTATGTCTTGCTTGCCTCTCCTCCCTACTGTATTCTATGTTCCCAATAAACTTGTTTTATGAAGAAGAATATTCCTGGTCCATTGAAATTCTTCCAGATCGGAATCGGAGCCGATGGAAAGCCCACAATTGTGGCGCCGATGCCGAAGCAGGAACTGATAACGCAGATTGATAAGCCGGTAAGACGATTGATCGGCATGAACAGATAAGCAGTAGAGCGAAAATGCTAACATTGGAAAATTTGAATTTCGAAATTTGTAAATCCCAATTTTTGAAATCCGACGGTTTCAATTTTAGAGCGCACTTGCAGACTCTAAATTGTCTCTGAAAAATTCTCAAAATTTGAAATTCGACATTTCAAAGGAATCTTAGCGCTTTTGCAGACTTACTATTTTCAAAAAAAACTCCAAATTTTGAAATTTGAATTTGGAGCGCGTTTGCAGTATCTGAAATTTCAAAAAACGTTTTCAAATTTTTAATTTTGAGAATGTTATTTAAGAGCGCATTTGCAGACTCTAATTCTTGAGATTCGAAATTTTAATTTTAGAGCGCCTTTGTAAACTATAAAATTTCAAAAAAATTGCTCAATTTTTTCCAGAGCATTCCATTCATCCTACCCCTGCTACCCGGTGGATTTGTCTCTCCACAATCCGCTCGTTTCACAATCACCCCATTCCTATCAGCCGAACGATTCACAATCAATCTGATGTGTAAGGAAGAGTTCCTTTTCCATTTCCGCGTCGATATGCCAAATCCGTCGTTGAAAATTAAAGTAAGCACCCATTTTTGAAATGACCTAATTTTTTTGAACATGGAAAACTAAACCACCCGTCTTATTAGATTTTCAGCCAAGGTAATTTTGAAGATTCGAAATTTTCCTAGTTTTTGAGCTTTTGGAAAACTAGGCCACCCGTCTTATTGCCCACTTTTGCAGCCTGGAATCTTCCGAAACAGTTCGAAAAACGGTGTCAAATGGCAAACGGAAGAACGAACATTTGCCACGTTTCCATTCAGCAAAGGAATCACTCATGACGTCGTTTTCACTGCCTACGGAAAATCGGTGACCGTTGATGTCGATGGAGCACCATTTGTGAAATTCGTGTATCGGGATGGCGATGATCCGGCCAATATCGATGCGATCACTGTGAGAGGAGACGTTTTGGTGCATCGATTTGTTCATAAGGGATAGATTCGTTTTTTTTTCTGCTGATTTTTCTGTGATTTTTTCGAATTTTGGGATGTGACACTTTTTTCAAAATTTGTATAATTTATTGGTTACGCTAAATAATAAATGAATTACTTTAGAAGCGAAGTATTTCGGAACATCAGAAAATCTCGAAATTGGAAATATTGAAATCTCCGTATTTCCATGAATGTTAACTTTGAGCTCATATATCTTGGTTCCTCTAAAAGCTATTAAAAAGTTGATAACTGACAAAATGTTTTTGATATTATGATAAACATTTTTTAAGTTTACAACTTTTTTATATCATTTACAGGAACCGAGATACATCAGCTCGAAGTTGAGAGTTGATATAATTTATCTTTATTTTTTCCATATATCAGCGTCAAAAAAATTGAAAACTCAAGTTTTATTTAAACGTGTGGAAAAAAGGTTAAAAGAAATCCACGAGATTTCAAAAATGTAAATTCTCTGCCTAAAAAAAGCGACGTAAAAACCCATGACCCTAGATGGCCTTAAGAGATAAAGGAAGAGACTATAAAAGAAGATAGAAGTGGAGGGAAGAATCAGTTCTCCCTTCTCTGGGCTCCCGAGAGGGAACCCGGGGAAGGGAGCTCCGGCTGGAGCCAGGAGCCGGGAGCCTGGGCCAGCGGGAGCTCCGGAGCTGGAGCTCTGGAGCTGGAGCTCTGGAGCTGGAGCTGGAGCTAAAGCTGGAGCTGGAGCTGTATCTGGAGCCGGGAGCCTGGGTCAGCAGGAGATGGAGCTCTGGAGCTCCGGAGCTTGAGCCAGGAGCACATAAACGAGGATGAACTGGATCAGGAGCAACAGGAAATGATGGTGGAGGATCTAGAAACAAGCGTGATGTTCCGAAGATATCAGCAGTGAATTTCAAGATAATTATTTCAACTCCTGGAACTGAAATCAGACAATTCATGGTGGTGTGACCATCCTGTTGTTTAGAGGAATGTTCAGCTGCGAAGTTCATGAAGTTCGAGATAACGGTCAATAGGTTGAGATTCCTGCCACCCCGACAATGAGTAAGACAACGCAGATGATGCTGCAGACTATTTATACTGGAACACATTCTGCCTAATTCAGACTGAAAATAAGGAAGATACAAGAAAGAATTCAATTCAGTGACCTTGGCTCTTTTTTTTCTTTGGTTTAATAAAAGAGTGGATGTTTTACATTTCAGACTTTGTTAACGGATTTGAGATGTCAGCTTTGAGCCATTATATCTTGGTTCCTGTAAAAGATATCAACAAGTGGTCAACTGACAAAATGTTTATCATAATACAAAGAAAATTTTATCAGTGGATCACTTTTTGATATCTGGTAAAAAAATTAGATATATGGCCTCAAAGTTGCTTTGAAAGTTGTGGTTTACAGAAATTTTCAGCAAATAAAAAAAGGAAAAAAAAATTTTGACTTTGGCGCCAAGGGTGTCCTGGTTTTTGACTGGAATTTTTTTCAAACCCTTTTTGTAATTTGTTTAAAATTAAAGGTTTATGCGAAAAAAAACTTTGTTTCCCTTCCACTGGGACTTCCGAAAAATGGCGCCAAATTCAAAAAATTTCAACTTTCAATTTTGAGCTTATATATTTCGGTTCGTGTAGAAGATATCATTAAGTAGTTAACTGATAAAATGTTTATAATAATATTAGCAACATTTTATCAGTTAAGCATTTTTTGATATCTTTTACAGGAACCTAAATAAATTGGATTGAAAGTTGGGGGTCACTTTTTTAATATGTTTCACGGTAATCACGATTTCTCCAGAAGTTTGTTTTTTCCCAAAAACTTTGATTTTTCCAATAGAAACATTCTGAAAAATGACATATAATTGAAGATGCTTTTGAATTCAAAAATTCTATTTTCGGCAAAAATAGATGATGCTACACACTTGAAAATGAAAACCTGTAATAATATAATAGGGGAAAGAATCGGAGAGACGGTAATCGAGATCGTGCTCTCCAAAATGTGCGAACTGGACAAAAAAGGAACTCAAAATTAGAGTGCATGCGCAAGAGAGTGGTCAATTTAAGAGAGACGCAGAGAATCAGAGATGTCAACAAAGTGGACATAGTGTTGATGTTCATAGGGCTACACATAAAAAAGATCACCAGATTTTTTATTTCCTTTTCGTCTTGTCGATTAACTTTAAAAAGCCGGAAATGATTGGATTTGGGTAAACACTAGCCACAAAAAAAGTTTGTCTAACCTTTTCAAATTTACAAACACTTACTGCTTTTCAAAACACGAATCTCAATCGCACAAGAGAAAAGGTGGAGCCGCCGCTACTGACCTCTTATGGGCTTGAAGAAGACAAACATCAGAAGTTCATATAAAAAGGCAAAGGTGGTGTGCAGAAAATGAGCAATCATGGTTTCGACTCGTCTCTCTATTCTGGCTTTGGCTCTGATTGGAGCTGTTTTGGCGCGCCCACAATTTCCAGGTGGTCCACCACCAGGCATGAGTGTGAGTTTCTTTTGCTCCCTTCTTTTAGGAAGTAAAAAATGGAGATTCAGCTAGTTAAGTTACCGTAACCAGTCTAATAGAACAACGCCTCTAACTCTCAACTTTGACCCAATTTAGCTCGGTTCCTGCGAGACATATTTAAAAGTGGTTAACTGACAAAATGTTTATCAAATATCAAACATTTTTCAGTTGAGTACTTTTTTACAGGAATTGAGATTCATAGGCTCAAAGTTAAAGATTTGAGGAGCATTCTATATATCAGTGTGTTTAAGGTATTAGGATGAACATATGATTTTTCGGGTATTTCACCACAAAATTTTAGGGAAAATTAGCAATTTGGAACAAATTTGAGACTAAAAATGCAGTTTCGAGTCATTGAAACTTAACATTTTTTTGGTTTTTGGGTTTCTTCCCAAAACTTAATAAAATGAAATAAACTGTCAACTTTGATCTGAATTATCTCAGTTCCTGTGAAAGATGCCAAAAAGTAGACAACTGACAAAACATTATTGATACTATGATAAACATTTTGTCAGTTGACCACTTTTCGATAACTTTCACAGTAAATGAGATATATGAGCTGAAAGTTACATATAAACCAAAATAATTGGGACCAAACCCACACGGTGAATTTTCTGGAACGTTTTTCAAAATAAAACTTTTTGCGCTCTTTTCATTTTTGGTTTCGCTGTGTAGCGACTCAGTAATTCATTTTTCAGCATGCGTGCACTTGGGTTCAAGCGAGGGGGTCAGAAAGCGCGCCCCAGTAAATTTTTCAAAAATTCTCAATTCGCTGCCGAACTTCGTTGGCTGAGTATCACAGTTTTAAACGATGAGCGAGAATACGCGCGTTGCAACCCGTTGATTTTAAAGAAATAGATCATGATCTAGTTCAAACCCGCGTTCATTTTAAAATTATTAAATTTCTTCTGGGCTACGAGTTTGCTGGGGCGCTTTTTCTGACCCCCTCGCTTGAACCCAAGTGTGCGCGTCGATACTCAGCGCGCTTAACTACAGTATTCGCGTTAGAGCGCATTTACTTTAGAAAATTCACCGTCCTAAAAAGTTCACCGTGAACCCACTATTTCCGCTATAGGGAAAGTTAAAAACTGTAGAAACTTGGTGACCCATAAAGTGAGCAAAAATTTACAATGCAATAACCGAAAATAGACATTCATTTTTGTAGTTTGATATTTAACTTCAATTGCTTAAAGGTGAGGAGACATTAAAAAAATGTTCTCGAAATTCCGTTTAAATATGCCCCTCGAGGAGTTGAACTTGTGAGGGCGATGGTTGAGGGTGCGGCGCCGCTACCGACTGAGCTACGCGGGTAAAGAGAAACCGCATGCCCGATTGCATACATAAAGGCGAGGACAACAGCTGCACTCAGAGTGACATTAATCGTTGTATACCGTCACGGTCGAATACATACTCGATCTCGGTTCCCGTGAAAGATAGCAAAAAGTTGTCAATTGCTAAAATATTGGTAATATTATGATAAACTTTTTGTAGGGAACGAGATGTATGAGCTCAAATTTGACTGCCTGGATAGGGTCATTCTATTAGGTAATTGGGGTCAAACTGAATATAGTGAACATTATAGATTTCCCTATTTTCTGATATATTAAAATAAGGTCATTTTTCAGTGATAACAAAAAATGTTAATTTGTCCCAACTTCCTTTCTCAACTCTCCCGTTTTCAGCCAGTCCCTCCACCAATCGCCGCAGTTCTCCCACCAGAGACACTCGCTCGGCTTGAAGCCATCCATGCCGATTCATCCCTCTCCGAATTGGACAAGCACAAGGCCATCGATGAGATTATGGTGAACCTCCCAGATGAGGTTGCCGATCGTATCCCACCACCACCAGGATTCGCTCAACTTCCAGCTGATGTTCAATCTCAATTGAAGACCATCCATAGGGACAAGAGCCTCGACTTCCAGGCTAGACAAGCCGCAATCAGAGGAGTCTTGGACAACTTGGCTCCAGAATACAAGCGTCTTCTTCCACCACCACCACCAGGATTCCCACAACATCGTCAGTAAGCTACCCGACGGACAGGACACGTTTTTAAACGTATATTAATTTATTTGAAGGCATAAAAATAAAATTATCATTCTATTTTTTAAAAAAATTTCAAAACATAAGTTTAAAGAGACACACCCAGTTGTTTTGTCGGAAGCAGGAGAAAAAAGAACGGCTGGTGTATTGAGAGAGAAACAAAATTCTCAAAATTCCACACGTCCGATCGGTCGGTTCTCTGAGAAACAGAAGGGAAAAGGAGAAGCCATGTGTCTCTTTTTTCTCCACTAACTCTATGATATTTTATTACAAAGGAAGAGAGAGAGAGAGAGAGAGAGAGAGAGAGAGAGAGAGAGAGAGAGAGAGAGAGAGAGAGGGTATCGGGGAATCAGTATGTCCAGTTGTTGAATGAGTTCACAATCAGTTTTTCTTTTTATTTTTCAAAATACATATTTCTTTTTCTTATGATCGAAAGAATTTGCTTGTAAAAATAAGATCTATTATTACAAACCTTTGGTGCGAGATGAGAAAATTCTAGTGTTTATAATAAAATCTGAAATAGCTGTAACATTAACTTTAAGCCAATTTATCTCGGTTCCTGTGAAAGATATCAAAAAGTGGTTGACAGATAAAATATTTTTTATATCATTTTGTTCGCTGACCCCCTTTTGATATTTTTTACTGGAAAGAAGATATAGCGGCTTAAAGTTGACGGTTTATTGTTTACTTTAATAGCTGTTTTATCCTATTTTTCCTATAATAATTGCAAAGAAAAATTATGACACTGATAATCTCAAAAGTCTTTTATTCCTATTTCTAACTCTGTGACAAGATTTAATTGACAGTTTTATGATACGTTCACATGGGTTGCCGAAAAGCGGACAAACGGCGGCTGAAATTTAAAGAATTCTATAATTTGTGAATATAATCTGTGTCTTTGAGCAAGTGGGAAAAGATTTGGGACAAAAAGTATGAAAGTCAAAAATATAATAATCGTACCAAAATGAAAAATATATTTATCTTAAATGTTCAGCCGTCATTCGTCCGCTTTTCGGCAACCCTGGTTTACGTGTGTCTCACATTAAACAAGGTTAATTAATTTAATGAATCAAAGGGTGTCACTTAATTAGAGAGACAATTTTTATTGATTCCACACAATTTTATATTTTTTTTCTACTTAAATTCAGATTCTGTTCTAACAATTCCTTCTAGCAAAAACTTGTCAAATCTTTTCATATGCTAATTTTTTTCTTCTCAAATATAACAGTTTGCGACCGCTGCAGCTTGAACAAACACTTTCTAGTGTATTTTTCTCTTATCGAAAAGCTGTAAAAAGGCACGAGGAACAATAAAAGATCGCAGTTGCGCATCGTTTCCTTTTTCACCTTTTTTTCCTGTACCTTGTGTTTCTTTTAGGATCACTTGAAACCTTTTTTTGGAGTTTTTTTTTAGTGATCTTGTTTTCCTGAACTTCGATACATTTTTTCAGAATTTTGTTTTTTCAAAAATTCTGATTTTCCTTTTCCGATCAGCTTATTTTTTTTCAAAAGTTCACATTTATATAGAAACAAAATTGTTGAAGCCAAAAATTAAAAAGTTGTGGTTCGCTGATTTTGGACTTTGTACTTAGAATCATATTTTTGAGGAAGTTGAGAGTTGGAAATCTGGAAATTCCAAGCGGTAGGCCAAATTTCAGAGCTTATAACTCAGGTGCCAATTCCCTTATTATTAAAAAACTTGCCATTTTAGAATGAACAGGTTTCGTAGATCACAATCATATAAGATTTCATTAACTTACTCAACAATTACTAAACACAAAGCCACAAAACCTAAAGTCGTTTTCTGGCAACCTTCCAAACTTTTAACTCCCAACTTTGAGCCAATTTATCTCGGTAGCTGTGAAAGATATCAAAAAGTTGTCAACTGACAAAATGTTTATTAGAATATCAAAACCATTTTTCTGTTTGACTAATTTTGAATATCTCCTACAGGAAACAAGATAAATCTGCTCAAAATAATGATCCAGAACAGATTTTTTTAAATCATAAACTTTGAGCCCATTTATCTCATTTTCTGTAAAAGATAACAAGAAGTTGTCAACTAACAAAACGATTACCATAATTTCAAAAACATTTTGTCAGTTTACTACTTTTTGATATGTTTTACAGGAGCCGATATATATGCGCCTAAAGTTTACGGACTGGGAGACATTCTACAAGAGTGTTCCAGGTATCTTTGTCTTTTTTTCTGACTTCAGACACGTATTACAAAAATCGAGAAAAGGCGAAAAAACGAAGGAAGAAGAACAAATCATAGAGACAGAGTGACTAATTGTGAATCATACTGTCTCTGTATTTTTTCTTCTTTTTCGTATGTTTTTTTTTCAGTGCCCCCCCCCCCTCTTCGACTATTTGAACAATATTGGAGACACTTTTTGGGGGGCTCAACATTGATATTTCTTTTCAAAAATTTTTATTTTTCTTCGAATGATGAGCTTTTTCATTTTGCCCCTATGTCTCTGGAAATGTTTATTTTATTATCACTAGCCTTCTCGTTCCAAATGCGATGACTCATTTCGATTTCTTGGTTTTCTTTCCGTTAAACAAAACAAAATCCCCCACCAGGAAATATTTCGAAACATTTGGTTTTATCCACTTTTCACAGCTTTTTCGTCTGAAATTTTTTGAACTTCTAGAAAAGAATTAGTCGAGAACTTTTTCGGGGATTCAAAAAGTTGATCTGAATTTTTTTTCGAAACTGAAAATTCCAAGAAATCGAATACCCAAAATTTCAATTTTTCCAAAAAATCCAGAATTCAGGAAATTTCGAGAATTCTAAACGTTACGAAAAATGAAAAAAAATTCGAAAACGTTGAAAATTCGGAAATTCAAAAAATGTTAAATTTCGAACAAATTGAGAATCGGAAAAATTGAAATCCCGATATTCATGAAATTTCAAAAAAATCCAAAATTCAAAAAATTTCGAAAAATTCCCTATTTCCCAAATTCGGAAATGTTTGAAAGATTTGGAAATTCCGAAAATTCCAAAAAATTCCAGGATTCTAAAAAGTCCAATGTTACAAAAATTTCGAAATTTCGAAAAAAAAAAATGGAAATTTCGGGGTTTTTCGAAATTCCAAAAGATTGAATAATTTCCAATGATCTGAAAAATCCGAAAATTGAAAAAAAAAATCTGAAATTTCCGAAATTCCACAAAATTGTTGAAATTATAATTTTCCGAAAATCCAAAAAATCAAAAATTCCCAAAATTTTGGAAAATTTTAAATTCTAAAAACTCCGGAATTACGAAAATTCGAAAACATTCAGTTATTTCAGAAATTGTAACATTCCAGAATTCTAAAAATTTGAAGAATTCCAAACAATGAAACTCCACAAATTTCGAAACCCAGTTTCGAAACCCAAATCGGTCCATATATCTTGGTTCCTGTAAAAGATATAAAAAAGTGGTCAACTGATAAAATATATTTGATATTATAATAAACATTTTGTTAGTTGATCACTTTTTGATATCTTCTACAGCAACCGAGAAAAATTGGCTCAAAGTTAGGGAAACCCTTCTATCTGTTTACAGTAATCTAATCTAGTCGTGTGGCTATAAATTATGGCAATTTGCGACAATAATTAGAAACTTATATCGGCGCTTCGGATCTTCAGCTTTGCTAGAAAATCCCTCTTGAAAAAAGAATCTGAAGGGAAAAAGCCCACCCACACCGTCCACTTTAAGTCCATATATCTCGATTTCTGTAAAAGATATCAAAAACTTGTCAACTAATAAAATATTGGCGATGTTATGATAAGCAATTTATCAGTTGACATATTTGTGATATCTATTACAGAAAGCAAGATATATGGGTTCGACCGTGCTGGGTGGGCTTCTATTAGTGGAAATACGGTAATCTTCTAATGAAAAGTTCAAAGTATTTCTAATGGAACCCAATTGATAGATTTTTGTGTCTTTTCCCTATTTTTCCGTTCACAACGTTACTTCGAAACGAGGAGATCGTCGCACTTTGAAAAAAGATAAATAGCGTTTTTTGTTCGGCGCTCCTCCGCCTCCCACCCAAAGTTCCCACTTGTCTTCCAACCCAATTTTTCCGGAAAAAAATTCAAAAAAAAAGATTCATGGTCCAATTTGCAAACTTTTTTTCTTCCTCCTTCCCACCAAAAAAAAACCAAACCCCCGCCATTTTTGGTCGACTACCGTTTCTCTGGGGAATTAAAAAAAAAAGAGATGTCATAAGATTTTCCGATTTTTTCTCTGTTTTGTTTCCCACTTTTCCGTTCGCTAGACTATTCAAAACACTGAAAATTCAACTTCCTTAAGACAAAAAATACTAAAACCCTGATAAAACTTTTATTCCTCTTTGTTCGATTTGGAGCTGATAACTGATAAAAATTTTTTTGTTATCAGCACCACCACCTCTCTTTTTGTTTCCGTTTTTGAAAAATCGATTTTTTTCAGAACTCAAAAAACTCATCCATCATTAATAATTGCATGCATTCTCGACACGAAAATCATGGTGAGCGGTTTTTTTGTTGAGAAAACGAAAAAAAATTGGTTGAGAAGCAGCTTCTAGAAGCCAGATGCGCTTTACCATTGTAAACCAACTCAAAAGCTCATAAAATCATTTTTAAATCACCCAGATGTTCCGAACCGGTTTGTGGTTTTAACTTTTTGTTTCGAATTCTGGCGGTTTTTTTTCTTGGAATTTCGAATATTTTTTTCTTTCTTTTTTCTCATTGTTTCTTCAGGAATTTGTGTTATAATCCAAAATTGAATGAAAAAATTAATTGGATTAAAAAAAAGATTTTCTGCGAATTCGTGCATTATTGCGCGCTGGTGTTTGCGGACGGGATACATTCAGATGAGCCACTCGGCGCGCTGTTGGCAAAATTTGAATTTCGTCGCCTGTTTTTAACGGATTTTGAAGATTTTGCTCATTAAGAAACCGTCCAATACACAAAAATCGTAACAAAAATCAGATTTTTCGCAATAAAAAACTGTTCAAGACCCAAAAATTTACGAAAATCAGATTTTTCGCTTTTCAACCAATTTTTCTCAATAAAACCACTCTAAAAAGGAAAAATCGAATTTTCCAGGCTGACTGTGACGATACAATGGAACAAAATGACTTTCGGGTCGTCACATCCTCCTCGGTCTATCGAAAAGTGTCCACGACAATATCGGGTGGGATGATTTCCAGTGCCGGAGGACAGAACGCCTACAGATACAGATATACGTTGGGAGATGTAAGTTTTTCATTGAATTTCTAGTCTTCTAAGCGATTTTCTTCATTCAGGTCTCCTCGACAAATGTAACATTGGACGTGAATGTTGGCACCGGTTGGACGCGAATACGACTGAAAGAAGTGCCCAAATTCATCGTGCACGCCTTCAACATGATCTGTAAATACGGAATGGACGTCGACGGAATCTTCAGAAAAGAAGGAAACTCAGCTCGTCTGAATCGCGCCGAAGTTCAGAATATTTACAAAGGAATCAGCGAAATTCCCAACGACTACACTGTGATTGACGTGTGTACAATGGTGAAGCGGTTTCTGCGCGATTTGAAACCGACACTTTTGGATTCCGACGAGTTTCGTGCACGTCTTCTGAAGAAGGCGTGCCAGGCGAGAATCTCGAATTGTTTTGTGATGACGCGAGACGAGATGGCGGATATGTTCTACACGGATGATGGCTCTAAAGAGCGACAAGCGCCACTGCTCTCCGATATTCACAGCTCCACGTTGGGCTATGTGATGCGACAGTTGTATCGGGTAAACCAGATTCGGTGAAATATGAAGAAAAAATATATACAAATTCAGATCTCCCTCCACAACGATCAACACAAAATGTCCATTGAAAACCTGGCTGTGGTTCTTGTTGGAAGCGTTTTTGGCGATGGAATTCACGATACCAAGAAGAGCGGTCAAGTGCGACGTGGATCCAGGGACGATATTTTGGCACAGAAGAAACAGGACATCGATGTGAACGTAGCGGCGGTGAAGCTCTTGATTACTAATGTAGGTCATTGTTGGAATATTTCAAAAATTGTTAATTTTGACCTTTTTATGATTTTTTGAATCATTTCAAGCCAATTTTCGAGTCATTTTAGAGCGTTTAAGCCTTTTTTGAAGTATTTTTTTATAATTTCAGCTCATTTTTAGGTAATTTTAAGCTATTTTCGGATCGGATCATAATTTCAGTTCTGAAAAAAATTTATTATCATTTTGAACCATTTTAAGCCATTTTTAAGTAATTTCAAGCCATTTTAGGTCATTTTAAGTCATTTGTGGGTCAATTCTAAGCAATTTTGGGTCATTTTGAGATAATTTTAAGCCATTTTCGTGTCCTTTAAAATCATTTTTAGATCATTTAAAGCCACTTTCGTATCAGTTGTAGCCATTTTCGGGTCATGTGAGCTATTTTTGGGCCATTTAAAGTCATTTTTGAGTCAATTTAAGCTATTTCTGTTTGATTTTAAGCCATTTTTGGTGATTTTCAGCCGTTTTTGGACCAATCATATTGGTCTACTAATTATCTAGTAGACTTGGAATTAGCAGACCAACGGTTTGGGTGTGCTTCTGAGATGCGCAATTAGCAGGCCTATATAATTAGCAGACTAATATTCTCGGATTTTTAAAATAAAAAGTTTCTTCCAGGCCAACCTGATTGGTGTCCGTCGTGATCCATACGTCTCCAGTAACGCGATGCTCCGAAGTTCGAGCGCAATGCCACGTTGCATGTCTAGTGGCTATGAAACTGGCTCATCTGACGCCGATTGCTTATCAACAAAAACGTCATCAACACTGAAGAGTGGGCAAGAACCAGGACCCGGTCCATCTTCCCACATTTATCGTCGTGACTCGGAAGCTGCTCATAAAATAGTGACCGCCCGGAAGAAGGGTGAAAATAGTTCGAAGAAGAAGAGATCCGCGTCGTTCCTGCCGAGTTTCCGGGACATACGGCATAGGTTGACGAATATGAAACGGGCTAAGAGTCCTAGTCCAGAACGTCTTCAGACTGGACATTCTGATGTGGAGCCCAAGTTCACTGATGAGTCGAACACAGCGTCCACGGCGTCTGGACGGCAATCCAGAAGCCAGCAGTCGCGACGTGGCAACACAAATGCCGCACCACGGCTTGTCAATAACCCATCAAAACCGACCATCGCCAAAATGTTCGACTCGGATTTGACGATTCCGAGCAGCAGAGCACTTCGAAGACTATCGGCTAGCGATCAGAATTCAGGATACGCCAAGCATCGGCTGTCGAACGAGCAAATGAGTGTAACCGAGTTTTTGATGTCCGAGCATGAAAAGGAGCTTTCGAGCGCTGCTCCAGCGCTCATAAACTCAAAAATCCGGAAACGAAATACAATGGTTTTGGGAGAGAATTCGAAATCTATAGCAAAACACACAAACCGACGCCATACCGCCCCCATCCATAATAATCGGCCACGTCGGAACCGACCGAATACCGTTGGCACCGGTCTGCCTCATCGGAAAGACTCGAACAATGGATCATCGATGGAGGAGAAGGAGAATCAAGGCGACGTTGAGACAGATGACACGCTGGAAGGCGTGGATCGCTCTCAATGGCTTCTGGAGCAGAAGGCGTTGGAAGCGAGATCAAGACGGGCGGGACGGAAGCCGAAGCGACCGAAGAGTACTGAGAGATCGATGGCGGTGGAGTCGACAATGTCGAAGACGGTGGAAATAAGTTCAGTTAATGAAGAGAAGACAACGATAGTGATGAGGAAAGATCTAGAAGAGGTGAAGAGCAAACAGTTCTGTGATATGGCCACATCCCCAATGGTTATGGATACCCCAAAGGTAGGGTTTTTTAGAAGAAGTTTGCAGAAGCCGTATTCTCTTTTCTTACAGACCTCTTCCCATGAAAACGGCCACGTATGGGTTGGCACGAAGCAAGTGGTCAATGTGACACCCACTCCGTCGATTGCCCGACGTCAGAGTCGTGCTAGACTATCCTACTCGAAGGCCACGGAGTCTCCACTAGATATGCCTGCATCAAGAAGAGAGTCGAGCCCATTGATGTCTCCCATATTGAAAAATGTTACGATAACTAACAACTCTCCGCCGTCTCAAGTGGTGACGTCTTCCTCGCCAAGACTCACCGCAAAATCCCACGTTCTCTCCCCTCTGGTCCTTCGGATGGAACATCTCTCAACACCGACACCCCCACCTATTCCATCCCATTCTCCACCGTACCTCACTCCAGCTCGTGAACCTGTCGCAGAGATGAAGAGAATCACAATCTCTGGCGTCCAACCTCGGCGACCACCGACACCTCCATCCCACCCCAAAATGTCGAATCCGTTCTCACCGAAACTTCCGATTCGATCCGTAACCATTGATAATGGATTTGAGCTTCCGTCAACGGCAAAGGCTCCAGAATTTAAGCCAGAAAGTGGACCGAACCTCTTCAAACTCCCCCAGTTGCCACGGAAAATGACAAGCCCATTAGCAGCATCCCAACGGCAACAACACTCAAAGTCTACCCTGTCCGTGAGGAGTCGTCCGAATCTTCGAGAATCGAAGAGTATCGACCAGGACGCACTTCCGCTGCGATCGGCGCCACTTCACGGATCCGGTCAGTTGTCACCGAGAAGTGCCGAGTATTTCGAGTTCGGAAAGTATACGAACGCATTGAGAACCGCCACTGATGAGTTTGTAAGTTTAGATTTCTTTAAATAGAACATTTTTGAACTTGGATTTTCAGGCCTTGCCAAATAGAAAGCTGTCAGTTGAGCCGCGCCCATCGGTAGCAATTATTCGAAGTAATAACTGCGGATTGGTTAGATCGCGAGTCCATCATTTTCAGGTAAGAAGGAACATGAGCTCCGCCCACCCTCGAATTTTTATTTTTAATTTTTTTTTCACGTCGTTAACCTTCTTCTTCATGAGATTTCCGACATTTTGATACCCATAATTTAGTGAGATTCTGAATTTTGACGTCTTCTGATTTCTGATTTCAATATTCTCCAAACTAGGACAATATGGGTATCAAAATGACGGAAATCATATAAAAAAGAGAGTTGGCGATGTTAAAAGTTCAAAAAATTGAGTGATCAGAATTCAGAAGACGTCAAAGTTTTTGAAAAATTTTCTAAAAAATCGATCTTTTCTAGGAAATCGAACAGCTCCAACGCATCGACTCCTCGATGAGCGGCCGTCTATCAGCACTGTCGCAGACATCGCTCCGAAGCAGTGACACGCATCCATCGTCGTCGGATCGATTCTCCGATGTCTCCGATCTTCGACATAATCTGACGTCATCTGAGTCGAACCGATCGCTGGAGTCCACACCGTCGACACCTACAGCCACAGCTGCCACGTCACGAGTCGATTCTTCTCACCATTTCTAAATATTCGTGTACTTTTTTTTGTCTACTTCAATTATCCGGGTATCCACTTCACTTTCTCTCTCTCTCTCTCTGTCTCGCATTATGATTCTCACTTCTGACGCGCCCCAGGCGTTCTTCTTCTTGAGACGTACTTGAAATCTCCATGGTCCCTGTCTCTCTTTATAAAGTCTCATTTCTCATATATGTCCGAAATTTCTTCCATCTCGCTCGCTCGCTTCTTTTTTTCTGGTGTGCGCATCAATACCGCACGTCTTCTGGCTCGCAGTTCGAATTAGAATTCACCACATTTTTCTTTATTTTTCCCTCTCTCTTCATCTGTTTCTGCACGTCTTCTCGTCATCAGAGCTCCCACCACTACCACATCACTACAATTTTTGTAGGCACCTAGAAAACACAATTTGCCTCTTTTCTTTCTTCCCATATAGCTCTGTCTCTCTGTAATTCTTCTTGTCTCGTCTCTCTTTGGTATCAGAGAAATGAACCATCCCAACCACCATCACTTTTATTTTCATTATTATATCATGTGCTTTACCTTTCCCATTCCCATCTCCCTCTCCATCGCACCTCTTTGTGTTTCGAATATTTATTTGTATTAAGAAAAAGAGAAACTCGTAGAGATGAAACAGATTCGTCAAGATGATCTTGATTCTAAATGCAATCGGAAGTCAAAGGATGGGATGTGGGAATCAGGAAATGGTTCTGAATAAGGAGCTGAATCTAAGACGCGATTGAAAGGGTGGCTTGTTAGGATTATCAGAAGTTAAAGGAAAAAGAAGAAATCGATCTAAAATAATATGTACGTGAACTTGCAAATCATTTACGTGTCCTTTCAAAAATAAAATTTACGTGAATTTTTTATAAATACGTGAAGTTTGAAAATTGCATTACGGTGTTTTTTTTTGGGACTTCGTGCGAATGCGTCCTAATGCGAATATGCCGTAGCGAATTTAAACTACGGTAAAATAGTGGAAAAAAGCGCGGGAAAATTTTATTTAAAAAAAACAACCGTGATTTAAGTGAAGTTAAAAAAATTAAGTGAATGAAAAAAAATCGATTTAAAAAAACACGGCGTTTTTTCCCGGGAAGTTAGAAAAATATTTTTTGCGACACTTCGAAACCAGTCATTTCGAAACCGCGACATTTCGAACCAGCCCGGTTTCTTGAGGCAAAAATTTATAAGTCTTTGAGAGGAAGCTGGCTTTTTGAAATCATTTTACCAAAAATTTCTTTGTTTTCATATTTTTAAACGGTCTTGGGATAAATTCCGTGCTTTAAAATAAATATTTTGAAAAAAATGTATCAAAAATCAACAGAAAAATTTTGAAATATTTGGTGCCCGGGCCGGGCCGGTCCGGAGAATATTTTCTCCAGCCCGGCCCGGGCAGTGATTTAGCAAGTATGGGGTTTTCAAATATGCGTCTTCTGATAGAACATATTCTGAAATTCGAAAAATTCAGAAAGTTTTATTTTGAAAAAATTAAATTCAGGGTTTTTTTTCGGATTTCAAAATGTGTTCTATAAGGAAAATCGTATTTGAAGCCCTAAAATAGCATTTGTAGTCTGAAATTCATCCCTTCGTCTGTATTACCACTGTTTCGAAATGACTGGTTTCGAAGTGACGCGGAGCCAAAAACTACATGGATGAAAAACAACTATTTTTATGAAGTGAAAAAATTAAGTCAATACAGTTATTTTGGGTTCCCAATAAGCTCCGCCCCATTCATCAAACATTTCGATCTCAGAAAGGGGCGTGGCTTATTTCTCCAATGTTTCTTCCATAGGAGGATGTTCAAAGAGCACGATTTCCAGATTCTTAATTCCCATCAAACAATTTTTTCCTATATCCTTATAATTTATGTGCAAAAGATCCAACTCTTCCATCTTCATCTTCTTCCACTTCTCTCCTTCCTTCCTTCTTTCGCTACTTCATTAAATGAAGTATCATTAGGCGTCCCGTCCCACATACTCACACTATCTATTTTGTCTTGTTTTCCGCTTCTCGCTCTCTCCCCGTCATTTATTTTATTTTTTCGTTTCTAATTAGCTTTTAGTTATCTGAAAAATAGAGAACGAAAAGAGGTGTTTGCCTTCTTCTCCCTCATTTCCATTTTCATTATTTCTCCCCGTTTTTATACGAGCCCTAGAAAGCAGCGATAGTTTCTGCTCGCTCGATAATGAGATTTGAAATATTCAATTATTTTTTTAGTGTTCGCTGCGGCCTGGTCAAAATTCTTGATCATTCAAAAATACGTCTTTCAGAACCTACCACCTGGTGGGAAAGACAAAGCTAGCAGAAATGTTTTCGTAAGTTATTGAAGACTTGGTTTCGGTTGTTTAATGATTTTTAAGTATTTCAGTGTTTTTTGCATGTCGAATGCTTGGTTTTTGTTGTTGTGTGTCTTGAATACCAATGGTACTTAATTATTCTGAATCATATCTACCGTAATCACTATAACAGAGCAAACATCATAACTTTCAACGTTGACCCAATTTATCTAGATTTCCGTGAGAGATATCGAAAAACGGTCAACTATCAAAATATTGTTGATATCATATGAAACATTTTGTCAGTTGACCACATTTAGGTATCTCTTACAGGGAATGAGATATATGGGCTCAAAGTTGAATGTCTGGAGACATTATAGTAAAGTTTTTTGGTAATACAGTAGTACTCCACAAAAAATTCCACCCATTGTTTTCCATTTGACACCTATTTAGGTGAATACTCGTGAAAAATATTGCCTGCGGATCATAAAAGAAACAAAAAGTTGTCGGGCGAAACATCGTGCTATCATGCTCATTGCAATGGCGTATATGCGGAAAAGCAACTTTAAAAAAGCTCATGAGGAACATATGACATAATTGATTTTATTTGAGAAACCGAGATAATATCAACATAAAAAGTAAAAGTCTCCCTTCGAAAAAAAGTTTGAAGTCATCAACATGATCCAGAAATAAGAAATCTTTTTGGAGTTTTTGGGCTATGGACCGGAATCTTGATTCTGAAATCCAGAATACAAAATCCGGAATCCAGAATACAAAATCCGGAATCCAGAATCCAGAATCCGGAATCCAGAAACCAGAATCCAGATTCCAGAATTCAGAATTCGGAATCCAAAATCCAGAATCCGGAATCCAGAATCCAGAATCCGGAATTCAGAATCCAGAATCCAGAATCCAGAATCCAGAATCCAGAATCCAGAATCCAGAATCCAGAATCCAGAATCCAGAATCCAGAATCCAGAATCCAGAATCCAGAATCCAGAATCCAGAATCCAGAATCCAGAATCCAGAATCCAGAATCCAGAATCCAGAATCCAGAATCCGGAATCCAGAATCCAGAATCCGGAATCCAGAATCCAGAATTCGGAATCCAGAATCCAGAATTCGGAATCCAGAATCCAGAATTCGGAATTCAGAATCCAGAATCCAGAAACCAGAAACCAGAATCCAGAATCCAGAATCCAGAATCCAGAATCCAGAATCCAGAATCCAGAATCCAGAATCCAGAATCCAGAATCCAGAATCCAGAATCCAGAATCCAGAATCCAGAATCCAGAATCCAGAATCCAGAATCCAGAATCCAGAATCCAGAATCCAGAATCCAGAATCCAGAATCCAGAATCCAGAATCCAGAATCCAGAATCCAGAATCCAGAATCCAGAATCCAGAATCCAGAATCCAGAATCCAGAATCCAGAATCCAGAATCCAGAATCCAGAATACAGAATTCGGAAATCACAAAGACATGAACTGCAAAAATAAAGTACCAAAGTGTTCTAAATTCTCGGTGCAGTTTTTATCAAATTTTTGAAATACTCATCCTAGATCCTTTACATCCCCTTGGAATCTATAGATTCCATGAATGCTCGAAATAACAAAAAGAAAGAAAGGAGCAACCAAAAATATGCTACATGTATTCGATTTCGTGTATTTCTCCCATTTTTCACACACCCCCTTTCCGATTGAACTTCACCAGCCTCCTTCTCTTTTTTGTTGTTTTTCAAGGGCTCAAATCCAATTTTTTCAGTTTCATCTTGATACCAAACAGAGATATGGTGTTGTTTTTTTTGTTGTTGAGACGAGTGCGTAGTAGCCATTATTTTTTGTTTTTTTGGTTGGATCTGGGTTGGGGGGTTTTTTTTTGAGAAACGTATAATTAAAAAACCTAGAACCAAACCATATAACGACAGGTTAAAAAGAGGGTCCCCGGCTATATTTCTGTTAGAGGGTCCCAATTTTTTAATTTTTTAAAAGGTTCCCTAATCTACAGTAGAATAGATCAGAGCAAGTCTACCGGTTTTTGAGTATCGCTAATGACTCCACAAACTACACTACTTCCCAAAAAATTATAATGAAGTCCTGTGCCAAAAATTCCTTCATATTTGCCAAAAGAGCACCACGACGGCTCCATTTCGCTTTTCCTATTTTTTCCAAGAGCAAATAGCTAATCGTAGTCGACTCGAATTTCCTCCGTTGTTTGGGCCAAGATGAGAAAATAACTTGGCATCGAAAGACTCTGAAGATTATTCTACCGCAGACTTTTTTTGTAGTCAGAAGACGTTATGATCAATATTTCTAAGAAAATTTGGAGCTACAAGGGGGAAAATTTGGAGCTACAAAATTTGGAGCTACTTACCCAGCACATACATTTTCAGTCGATTTTCTGTCATTTTGATCATTTTCAGAACTCTGGATTTCGGCTTTCAGTTTCCGATCAGTTTGAAAATTTTGAATGGTGTAAAGCAAACCTAGATTGAAAACTTTGCATTCACAGAATTTTTTGAAAATTCATAGTTTTTCAGTTTTTTGCCGATTTCTGAAGGACACCCCTTTCTCCTGTTTTTGTACTGAAAAAGTTAAAAATGCAAGTAGCTTTCAGAAATTGACACATATCTCAAAAACTAGGATTTAAAAAATTATATGAATGCGAAGTTTTCAATCTAGATCTGTTTTATACTTTCCTAAACTTTCAAAGTGAATGGACACTTGACAGCCGAGATCCAGACTTCTGAAAATGCCGAAATCAACTGAAAAATACGTTTTTAAGTATCTTATTTTACTGTAAATCAACATGAAAAACGCCTTGCGATTTTTTTCCAAGTTTGAGCATATTTTTGAAATTTCGATTCTCAGTTCTACAGGTTGCATATACTGTAAAACCTGTATTAGAAGGGCCGGTCCTTCTATAGGCACCTTCAAATGACCCTTATATTACGAGGTTTCAATCAGAGTTCTATTTTTCCGATAATTTTCCAAAATATCTCATCGATAAAATCGGTGAATCTTCGTTGAAAATTCAATTAAAAATTCATAAGTTTCACCAAAATTGAGCAAGTTTTTGAGCGAAAAAAGTAATTTCTGGAATTTTTCTATCAGGAATTAAGGGGGTCATCACATTTTTCCAAGCCTCTCTCGTGCTGCTCTTCTAAAGAAATCTCTGAACTTTTTCATTTTTTCCAGCTCTGAACCAATCTGACCCGCTTTCTTCTTTTTTTTGCAATCCTCCACCCCCAACCAAAAAGTTGTCTGATCTTTTTCTTTTTTTCATCAATGGAAAAGCGATGAAAAATTGAATAGGCTCAAAATGAGAGACATCTCCTTCTTCTCCTTCTTCTTCTTTCACAATCAATGCCTCCTCTGGTTCCAACCATTTCTGGGGAACCCTCATTTTCTATTCTTCGAGTCTCTAGGAGAGAAGCGACAGCGAAAAAAAAAATTGAATGAGAAAAATTTATTTGTTTGGCGTATCCTATCCTCTCTCTGTGTGTGTGGATATGTCAAATGCTCTGTTTTGTTATTGAATGGATTCCAACCCCATTGCAAACGGATACACATGCCCCAGAATGGATAATATTACGGATATTATTCAGGCCAATTTTTTTTCTCCCGGGATCTCGTTATACCCCAAACAGTCAACTTTGAGCCACTATATCTCATTTCCTGTAAAAGATGTAAAAAAATGGTCAACTGACAAAGCGTTTATTATAAAATGAAAAATATTTCGTCAGTTGACCACTTTGGTATATTTTGCAGGAACCGAGATAACTTGGTTCAAAGTTAAAAGTTAGGGGGTTATTCTGTGTACTGTAGTTACTGTATAAACTCGACAATATATATCTTATATCTCATTTCCTGTGAATGATATCAAAGAGTTATGAACTGATAAGATGTTTTCTAAAACTTCAAAAATATTTTGCTATTGTCTATTCAAAATAATCGCGCGGATGAACGAGTAAAAAAACGTGTAGAGAGTATCAAAACCTGTAGAGGCGCTGTAGAGACGCAGACATTTTCACTCGTTCACTCGCGCAATTATTTTGAATAGACAATAGTGGACCATTTTTTGATATCTTTTACAAGAACCGAGATAAATTGACTCAAAGTTATAAGTAGAACCAAGATAATTAGTTTTAATAATTGAAGAGGTATTTTTGATTTTTACACTTCAAGTATAACCTGTAATAGAAGGGCTCTTAACTTTTATTTTGATCCAATTTATCTCGGTTCCTGTGAAAGATATCAAAAAGTTGTCAACTGACAAAATCTTTTTGGTATAATAATACACATTTTGTCAGTTGATTACTTTTTGATATCTTTCGCGAAAAATGAGATATATAGGCTGAAACTTGACGGTTTGAGGGTGCCTTTGTATTAGAGTGTTGGCGATAACTGTAAAAGATTGGCTCCCAGCTTGTAGTCACAAAAAAAAGTAAAAATCTCAGTTTCAAAATCACTCTAAAATTATATTTGTATCTGAAAAACTACTCGAAAATCTTGTTTTCAGCTTTCTAAAAATCCTAAAACAATTTTCTACAAAATCGTTAAAAATGGATTATATTTTTTCAACAATTTTCTTTTTTAACTTTCAGAACACACACAATTTTTTTGGAGATTTCCAAAGAACACATTTCGCCCCAAAAAACTCGTCATAATCTCATCCCACTGATAACATGCATCATTCACCAACATTCATAATCATAATCATCATCGCTTTCTGTGCTCCTCACACCTTTTTAAATCCTCCTTTTCTTGTGTTTCTTCTTCTTCTTCTCCTTCCATTATCTGCGCCTCCACGTCTTCAATCCTCGTGCTCCTATCGATTCCGTCTGACACCCTCTCGGACTTGAGCACTCTTCCAGCTGTTGTAAATGCTTCGCGTGGACCCAACGACTTCTATTTTCCTATTCACATGCACATAATAGTGAGAAAAAGGAGGGAGGAGGAGGAAAGAGAGGAAAGAGAAGAAAAAGGTTTTTGTACTTTTGGACCTTCTGGGAACCTTTTTATGGCTCTAATTTATGATTTGAGGTGTTTTTCATCTCTCTTCAAAACTTTCTATCTGACATTCTCGATTTTTTTGAGCCCTCTTCCCCTTTTTCAATTCTCCTTACTCACACTTGACAAGTTCAGTTCAGCTGTCATGAATGGAAAAAAGAAAAAAAAAACTTTATCCTCTTTTTTTCCTTTCTCTTATAAACCATTCAAGTGCTCTCTTTCGTTTCAAAAATCTTCCCTTTTTTCTTTTTTCCTTTTTTTGCCAAAAGCTCCACTGGATTATCATGAAAGGAGAAAGAGTTCTTTTCAGAGAGTCTGCCTTTGACATTTTTGACACTTTTGGTTTTCATTCTTCATGTTCGCTTATAGGAGTTGGGAAAAAAGAACATTCTCACTGACTGAATGTTCTAGAACTTTTGAAAGGCGATAGTAAACTAGAGGTTATTATTTTTTCAAATATCCTTTTTTAATTCCATGGGTTTTACAAAAATAGTACTTTATTAGACCTCCGTTTCACTATTACTTTATTTTCTCAAAAATATAGAAGCCCATCGAAACCGTCTTTTTTTGAGCCTAATTACCTCGATTCTCGTGAAAAATATCAAAAATTGGCCAATGATAAAAAATTGCCGGTATTATGATACACAATTTATTAATTGGCAAAATTTTGATATTTTTCATGAGAATCGAGATAATTAAGCTCAAAGTTGACAGTTTGGGTAGTCTTCTATTAGAGGAAGTACGGTATTCATGTCTGGTGGAGACGAAAATGTATTTAAAGCCGCGCTATTGGTCTTGCAACAAAATTTCATGTGTCTTTAAATTTTCCAGTTTTTTCGGAAATAATCATTTTCAGCCTATTTTTCTTAATTTTTTTGACGAAATCAGCCAAAATGAACAAAAACGAGAAAATTGTCGAAAATCGAGAAGATTAGGCTTAAATTATTTAGTTTCGAAAATCTTGTAGCTTCAAAGGCGCATGGAGTTTAAGAGCACAGGTCGACGATGCGCAGACCAAAATTTATAAGACATTTTCAGAGAGATAGGTAAACTCATTTCTATTTTTTTGGTAAACCCATTCCGTTGTATTGAGAATAATAAAAACCTTTTCCCTTCAAGCCTCCATCATTTTTTTTCAGCGTATTATTGTTGGGGTAAGCCCCTCCACCACACACTTCTCTCCTCTCAGCTTCCCCCCGTTGCTTCCTTTTCACGAAATTTTCACTCTTCTTCTTCTCTTCTTCACTCTGCTTTGTTCTTCCAGCCCAAAATCGAGAATTTCCTCTTTTTTTGAATGGGTGATTGAGTGAGAGTGTGAGAGCGGGGGACATTCATTTTCACACCTTTTTCTGTTTTTCTCGCTCTTTTTGTGTTCCAGACAAAAAGATTTCAGACAGGACAAGAATTTATTTTCCATTATTTCAGTTTGCACTAAAAATACAAAAGCGTTATCCATTAATGCACGAAATTCCATTTTTTAACTATTTTTCAGTTTTGAAAACTGAGAATTTTACTATTTTTCTTGTGAAAAAAGCTGAAAACCCAATTATTAAACATAATGTAACCAGTCTAAAATGACCGTTTTGTCGACTTTGAGTCAATTTATCTCAGTTCCTGTGAAAGATATCAATAAGTAATCAATTAACAAAATGTCTATCATAATATGAAAAATATTTCATTAGTTACACTTTCAGGAAATTTCCAAGCTGGAAGTTCCAAAATTTTCAGTGACTTTTTCGATTTTTCAGTTTGAGGCATCTAAATTCAAGTTTAAAAATTCTATAGTTCAAAAAACTGGCAACCCAACTTTTTCGTCTTCTCATCTATTTTTTCACGTAACTTTCGAAAAAAGTTGCATGCATAAAACCTAAAAATTATTCATGAGATGCTCCCTGAATAAATTAATTTGCGAAAAAATTGGAATTACCACTGCAAGTCTAATAACACATCACTTTGAACTTTTGACCAAAAACAAAAAATACCTAATTCCCCTAAAGAAAAATGACACCAAAGATTTTGATCAGGTCGTGTGAAAATGCGAGAAAAAATATTCCAGTGAGACTTCTCCCCTGCTTTTTCGATGTCTTAGTGCTTCTCAATTTTTGCTCACTCATCTATTTTCTTCTTTTTTCTTTTTTTGGGACCGCCCGTTTCTTCTTCTTCTTTCTTCTCCTAACGAAGTATTTACGCATTGCTGAGCTCACATTAGTGGTTTGAATAGATGGATGCTCCCTTGACTCCTTTTTCATCTTTTCTCGTTTCCAAAAAGAAAAAACATGGGTTTCTTCCTTTTTTGTTGATAAAAATGGGTGTTCAGAGAGAAAGGAGTTATTGAACCTATCTAAAAGGCGCCATAACCAAAAAGGTCTCGTTTTCTATAAGTTTGTCAAAAAGAAATCATAGTCTTTTAAACAAAAATATCCCAAAAACTAATGAAATTATCGTTTTTTCGACCTTAAAATTAGTTATCTTGGTTGTTGTCAAAGGTATCATATAGTCAACAATGTAAAAGATAACGGTTTGAAACATTTTATTGCGTTTCAGACCGTTAACCTTGAGCCTTTATATTTCATTTCCTGTGCATGGTATCAAAAAGGGGACTGACAAAATGTTGATCCCAATATTAGGCTTATTTTGCCAGTTAAGCACTTTTTGATATCTTTCACAGGAACTGAGATAAATAGGGTGAAAGATACAGGTTAGGAGAAATTTAATGCGAGTATTTTCTCTCTCTCTCTCTCTCTCTCTCTCTTTCACAACTCATCTCATTCAATTATTTTTGTCTCTATAGCATTAACCCGCATACTTTATATCATAACAAAACCATTTTCAGGTTATTTTAAACATACCCTCCAATTAACACATCTAACCATCTGAACTAACCAAATAGTATAAATACTAAACCATGTCAGATCCGGATTTCAGGTAAAAACGGTCTCGTGTGAACTTCTCAGTGACGTATTTACGTTTTTGCCGTGAAAAATGACCTCTATTCCAGTTTAGGGGTCCCAAGAAATTTGAAAAGACACTAAAAATAGGGAACCCTAAAAAAAGGTCCCTAAAAGAATGAGGGAACCTAAAAAGAATTGGACCGATGAAAAAATGTTCTTTTTTCAGAGTCTCCTTGAAATTCTTAAGACACCTAAACTGGAGTTGAGCCGAAAAGTGTGATCTAATTATGTCTATTGTGATGAGTGTGAGTGTACTTCTCGTGGTGATATGTAAAAATGTGAAAAGAAGTATTCACCTGCCATTGGCCAAGTTTCATTCAACTCGGGCTCTTTCCCACTTTTTAGAGCCCATCTATTGGAATTTCTAATGAAAATGTCCAACGACTTCTTACTTTCCTCCCCTCTATTCCCCTCTCATCATCATGTCTCCTCATTAGAAATTTCAGAGAAATACGAGTAGGGCCTCCTGCTTACAAGTCTCTCGGGTTCGGTAGTTATGTTTTCCCCGTTATTTCCTATGATATGTGTATCACATTCTTCACATCAACATATTTTTTGCTACGCTACATTCAATTTTTTTTCATTTCCGTCTCGTTTTTTGGTTTTTTCTCGTTATGTTCATCTGGTTATCCTGTGATGTATTTAAGTCAATTCGTTATGTAACAATGTATTTTGTGTGAAAAATTCATAGTATTCAGATTTTCGGTAATTCAAAAATTGAAGAAATCGCTTATTTGTCACGATTAAGCAAATCTAACCACCGCAAACACTGTATTAGAATGCCCCACCCGTAAATTCTAATTTTGAACTCAATTGTTTCGGTTTCTGTGAAAGATATCAAAAAGTGTTCAACTGATAATATGTTCATCATAATATCAAAAACCTATTGACTACTTTTTGATATCTTTCACAAGAAGTGGGATAAATTAGATCGAAGTGCAAGCATAGAGTGATCTTCTATTAGAGTGGTTACGGTATTTAAGCAAATACAGAGAGTTTGCGAATTTCATAAATTCTGAAACTTGAAGTTTTACAAACTCCACAAATCTTTTTCTTCCAAGAAATACATGTAAATCCGTAACCACTCTAATAGAATGACCACCGGAATTTCATTTTTGAGCCTACTTATCTCGGTTCCTGTAAAATGGATCAAAAATAGTCAACTGACAAAATGTTCAAGGTAACATCAAAAAGATTTTTCAGTTGACAACTTTATGTTATCTTTTACAGGAAATGTGATATATTGCCTAAACTGGACTATTTGGGGAGGGGGGGGGGCATCTTTTAGTGTGTTTACGGTGCCCAACTTGAAATTTTTGGAAAAAAATTCATTTTCCAATAAACCCAACGCTTGCAAAAAGTGACATTAGTCACAAGTCCATCCCCCAAAAGCAATAATCTAATATTGCTCTTCCCTCTCTCCTTTCTCTTTTCCCCTCTCCGAGCCACTGAAATCTAATAAAACCTTTCCGGAGCTCGCCTCCGCTTAAAAGTACATTTTTTATGAGAATGTCAATGAGAGAGATACAAGAAGGGAGAAACACACATACACACAAAAAATAAAGAGAAGGCCTCCGGAAAAGCGCCCCGAGGACCCTTGAATAAAACCTATGTTTGATGAAGGGGTGGGTTGCTCTTCACACACTCCTTTTTTGACGTGGTGTGTGTATTTTTATGTCACATCGTTTTTTGAAGTGTCTTAATGTGGTTTGCACCGTTTCGACTTCTCCTGGTTTACCATTGTGACACAGTTTTGGTATCCTACTTACAAAAATATATTTTTAGCATGTCTGTGTCCAAAAAGAAGGATGAGGACAAGGAGAAAAAGTTTCTGGGACGACTACAGTACAAATTGGACTATGACTTTGATAAGAACTCGGTAATTCTTCTTAGAAACATTCGAAAATCAAAACATCTCATTTGTAGCTAACAGTGGTCATTGTCCAAGCTGAGGAGCTTCCGGCTATGGACCTTGGAGGAACATCTGATCCATACGTCAAACTATTCCTTCTTCCAGAGAAGAAGAAGAAGTTTCAGACAAAAGTTCAACGAAAGTCGTTGAATCCAGTGTTCAATGAGAGTTTCACATTCAAGGTTAATGGTTTGAGGATGGATTTTTTCAATCTGTTTGTGGTTTTTCAGATTCCATACAGTGAGATTAACTCTCAGACTCTGGTGCTGAACGTTTTCGATTTCGACAGATTTGGAAAGCATGACCAGGTGAGAGATTAGGACATTAGAGATGGTAGTGTCCTGGAGATCAGGGACCAAGCTAGTTCAAGAAATCAGCAGATTTTGTGAAACCGTTTCATACCGGGTGCACAGATACCCGGACTGATAAAAATAAGTATATTTTTAGAAATAAGTATCTTGGAAGCACGAAATTTGGTAGAATTATAATTTTATGTTTGATTCAAAGCTACTGAAATTTTCAAAGCGATTCCTCTAGTCTAGGTTTTGTTAAGATTGCCCAAAGATGAACACCGTAGTGGTTTTCATGAGATGAAGCAACTTTGACAAGCGATAACTCAGCTTAAAGTTAATAAATCAATTTGAAATTTGCCCAGTTTACTGATGAATTATTCGAATTCGCACACATTAAATTTCAGCCTAGCACAGTGGCGAGAAGTGGTGAGGAGAACTTTTTTCGAACATTCATAACTTTGTTCAAAATTGCTCAATTGACTTGAAATTTCGCATGAGAATATCTGTAAAATCCGAACACATAAAAAACAGTTTTTTGAAAACTTCTCAACCTCCGAATTTTCAGGGCAGTTTCAGATGTAACAGTGGTCCGAGAATCCAAAAAAGATTGTTTAGATGTCAAATAGTTCTTAGTGTCGAAATATGCACCAAAAAAGTTGTGAAGAGTTTTGGGAGTCGGGCTCTCGAGTTATGATGCTCAGAGCACTAAAGGTATGTGTCGGCATTTTTTCATATTTCGACCGTAAGAGCTATTTGACATGTAGAATCAAAGCCAGAAAAAATTCTGAAAAAAAGTTTTTTTTGGATTCTCGGACCACTGTTACATCTGATCTGAAAATCGGAGAATGAGAAGTTTTCAAAAAACCGATTTTTATGTTTTCGGATTTTACAGCTCATCTCATGCAAAATTTCAAGTCAATTGAGCAATTTTGAACAAAATGAATGTACGAAAAAAATTCTCCTCACCATTTCTCGCCACTGTACATCGCTTTACTCAAATTTTATGCTACTACAAGTTTCATTCCGAGTTACCCTGTAATATCTCAAATTAAGTATTTCTTCTGTGATTTAGAATTATCTTTTACCGGAAAAATGACCAAAAATCGGAAAACTCGGTACTAAAAATCCTGTGGGTTTGAGCTAATAAATTGCATATAATTATATCTGAGGAGATGTTTCAACGTTTATTCAGACGCTGACTAGACCAACGCCCTTTTGAAAAAAGTCAAACGTTTTCAGATTGGTCAAATCTCGATCCCACTCGGAAAAATCGACTTGGCAGCGTCGATTGAGAAAACCGATTTGATCGAAAGTCCACCAGAAAACCGTTTAGGAGAAGTATGTCTAGCTCTTCGTTATGTTCCGAACAAGAACAAGCTATCGGTCGTGGTTATGGAGTGCAAGAATCTAAAGAAGATGGACGTCTTGGGATTGTCAGATCCGTATGTGAAGATCTATTTGATGATGGGCACGAAGCGTTTGGAAAAGAAAAAGACTACGATTAAAATGAAGACGTTGAATCCATACTATAACGAATCGTTCAGTTTCGATGTGACTCCTGAGAAAATGATGGTAAAATAGAGCCAAATGTATGGGGCTAATATTTGAATTTTTCAGAGAGTCCATCTCCACGTCACCGTTTCGGATTACGATCGAGTTGGATCCAATGAAAGAATCGGACAGGTATGATAGGAAAATATGAAGAATTTGGTATCTGAAGAAGTAATTACTTGCATGATCGAAAAACTTCCGAAAGGTCCTCAATCAAGTTTACCGTATTCCCTTCAATAAAAGCTTACCTGAACTGAGATTTTAAATTACCGTAAAACCTGTAATAGAAAAGCCCTCTAATTTTTAACATTGATCTAATTTTTCTCGGTTCCTGTCAAAGATATCGAAACGTTGTCGACTGATGAAATGTTTATCATAGCCTGTTTGCCGCGTCTCCGGCGCTTCAAACAGCTGACTGGTGCGCCTTTGGCGCGATTTGATCTATTTTTTGCTTTATCGTCGCTTCGCTCCTCTGTCTTTTTAAAAGGTCACGGTATATTTAATTTTCAAGCTTTTCAAAAAATCTGCGGACAAATCCACAGAGAAAGAGACACAACTTCATTAATTTATTATAAGAATGACAAACATTTTATCAGTTGAGAAATTTTTGATATCTTTTACAGAAATCAAGTCAATTGAGCTCAAAGTTGACGGTTCGGGTGGGCTTTTATTAGAACATATGGTGAATCTCAAATTTCATTGATAACTGATATTTTCGTTTTTGAACTTGAACCTCTCAAAACCTTTTCAGATGTCAAACTTGTTTAACTCTTTTTCGCTTATCTATAATATCCATTTTTAGGTTATCATTGGAACATGTGCCACTGGCGTGGCTCTGAAGCAATGGAACGATATGCTGGCGACACCAAGACGCTCAGTAGCTCAATGGCACACTTTGGTGCCATTCAACGACGATTAAATTAATGGCCCTTCCTTCTAAATTTGCTTGCTTCAAAAATAATTATTTTGTAATCTAGAATTTTCCCAACCTATCCAACTCTTACCGCTAGAATCCAAACAGAGACCAGTCGATCAATTACATTCCCCCTTGCACATTTCGATTTGTTTATATTTATTTTTCTCTTCCACCCTACCCCTTACCGTAGTCTTCCAGTTGACTCATCCATCTCTCCTCTCTATTTTCTTCTCTTCCAGAATATCGAATTTCAATAACAATTATCATTCCACAACCACTTTTTCCATTCATTTTATCGCTCTCTCCTTTCATTTTTGCTTCCCTGTTCATCTGAACCATTCTTTTATTTGTGATTTTTCCAAGAGATAGTATTTTCACAATGTAAACTTTTTCTCTCTTAAAAAAGAAATATTTTAATTTATGATCGTAAAGTTGTTGTATATGATTTTAAGGAAAAGTGAAAGCAATAGCAGTGTGAAAATTAAAAAAAAGGCAGTTCACCGTAAAACCTGAATTAGAATCCTTTAAAAGAAGGGCCCCTCTAATAGAAGAGCCTCCTGTAATAGAACTCTATAAAAAGGTAAAAAAGGAACCCCTTCAAAATATGTTTTAGAAATAAAAAATTTCCGGCGAAAAATGATCCGGAAAATCCGCGCCCCCGTAGCTCAGCCGGTAGCGGCGCTGTACCCCTGAGTTGCCTGTCATGAGTTTAACCACTCATGGGGGTTCCCTATGCAAAATATCAGGAAAACTTTTTTTTTGTGTCTGGCCTCCTTTAAACACTTTTTTTTGATTAAAAACTTGCTCAATGTTGGTGATTTCGATAGATTTTCATGTATTTTGCGTTGCATTTTTCGACGAAAATTTTCGGGAAAAATGACCGGAAAAGTAGGCCCCTGTAATAGAAGGGCCCTCCGAAGGTACCTTGGAACAATAGAAGGGCCGGCCCTTCTAATACAGGTTTTACGGTAATTTAAAAAAAAGTAAGAAAAATCAAAGAAACAACAAAATTTCAAGGAACGGGATTATCTTCACAGACTCGGTGATCCAAGCAGTGTTAGCTGACGCTTTTTTGGTGAAATAACAAATTTTTTCGAATTGAAACTTTTCTGAAAATTTCCTCTTTTTTGGTTTAATAAGTTTCTCAAATTGAACATCCCAGTTCTTTCTATTATTCAGTTATATCATAAACCGGAAAAATGGCAAAAAAAGGAAAACTCTGAACTGAAAATTCTTTGGTCTCAAGTCCAAAATTCGTATTTGATTACCGTAAAACCTGTAATAAAAAGGTACCCAGACTGTCAAGTTTGAACTCAATTATTTCAATTCCTATGAAAGATATCAAAAATGTGTCTACGGACAAATATTTATGATATTATGATAAACAGTTTATCAGTTGACAACTTTGGCATACTTTTTTTTGGAACTGAGAAAAATTGGCTCAAAATGAAAAGTTAGGGAAAAGTCTACTACAGGTTTTACGGGTTCTTCTATGTTGTTCGTTAGAGTATGCTGTCCATTTTCAGAATGTTTACAAATTATGTTTTCCAGGTTATTCCAAAACCCATTATCCAAAATGCTCATTAACTTTCGGATCTTTCTTCTTACCACTTTATTCCTACAAGCCAATGCCAACCACTTTACATTCGACGCATCCACCCAGATGAGCAGTGCCGAAAACTGGCTCCATGAAGAGATACCGTGTATTGGTGTGACACAATCAGTCTTAATATTCTATATCTTTGATTATAGGAGACGAAATCCGATTTGACAGCAGTATGCCAGTGGTGGCGTTCATGGATCATAACGTTAATGTAAGTTCAGAAATATGTATGACGAACAACCTGTAATAGAAGGGCCCCTTGTTTTTAACTTTAAGCCCATTTTTCTCGGTTGCTGTTTAAAATAGGAAAAAGTTGTCAACTGGTAAATTGTTCATCAAAATTTCACAAAAACTATATCAGTTGGAAGATTTTTTTTAAATCTTCCACAGGAATCGAGATAATGAAGCTCAAAGTTGAAGAATACAGAATACCTTTTACTGGTTTTGTGGGTTCGAAAGAAGCCAATTTAAACAAAACCAAGCCGTGTAAGAATATTGATTTAATGAGAAACGTATAGATTTTCAGGTCGAATCGATCTATTTACCCAAAAACGGGATTATTGTATTCGCGGATAACGGAATTGATTTGGGCGGTGACTCTAATTGGCAATGTGCGAAGGACCATTTGAAACAGCCAGAACGTACTACCCTTTTGCTTTAGAACAAAATCTATGAAAAGAATATTCCAGAAAAGTTCTACACCAGTGAAGATCGTCATGATACATCATTTTACAACCCGAAAAACTGGATTCCCGATAAGAGATTTTTTCTTCACATGAACCAGGTGCCTTGTGAATATGTGAGTAATTTCAATATGCCAGTTTTTTCCTGAATAACCAACTTCGAACTATTATTATTTCAGGATGACGTTACTGTGTCTTCCATGTCTAGTGCTCAAATCTATCTCGACCTTCCTGTGAAAGTCAACAGATTCCGTTATTACAAACGATATGTAAGTTTTTGTCTCAGAAAGAATAAGATTTTTTATGCAAAAGAAATATATTTGCAAAAGAAATATATGGCGACACAAGGAAAAAAACGGTTATGGGTCACATTACTCGTAGAATATGGGGATCAATGGGATGGAGGGACGGAGCGATGGAAGCGTAAGCAAAATGAACATAAGCAAAAAATATAAGTATATGACGAAAAATGATACAATGAATGTACAGTGGAGAGCAACAGGCGAAAAAGGGAGATCGGAGTTATGGCATCTGTACTATCGTGTCACCGATCGCCCAGATTCCCATTTTCATCTCTCGAATGATGAACGAGATGAAGATGTTCCATGCATCAAGTGCGGCTTCTCGTTCCTGCAAAATACATGGATTTAATATTAGGTTTTTAATGTGACAAGCCGCGGTTAGCTTGCCGTGGACCAAACTATCCGTTCTTTCGGAAATAAGCTAACCAGAAACTTATATGGTCACTAGACAGCCAAATCCTACCTATTACATATGCACCCTAACTATAATCCTGTTTACGACAGTCTTGGTAAACGGCCCTCACTAACCTGAGGTGACGAGAACTGCACTTCTGAAATGATGCTCTGAATTGTATACTTGAACTCCTTCCATACAGATGAAGAGAACACAATCCCTTTGTCGTAGTGAACCGCTCCGACTCGGCGGATTCGCATAATTATATACTGAAAAAAATTGAGATCAAATGCGAAGATAACACTCAATTTTTCCTTACACTTTCCGCCTGATTAGTCCGCATTAATTCAAGCAGCTCTGCGATGAACCCGGATATCCGTCCGCCAATTTCTTGGAACTTGGCGTGATCAATGCTTCGCTTGCAAGAGCCGTTGAGTAGAGAGACCTTTTCGGGTTCCGGTAACTGTAAGAAGACAATGGTTTATTTATTTTTTAATTTAAATCCAATTCTTACAGTTTTCTTGCACATCGTTGGATGTTTCCGAACCATGTTCCACGCAACTCTGACTCCAATTTCGCCATTTGTCATTTCGTTTGCCTTCTCCCAAGAGGAGATTAGAATTGACAACCGGTCTCCCAGCAGTTGGCTGAAACTAACAGATTCTAATAATTATACTTGTTTCCATTTTACGAACTCACCCAGAATCACAAATCGTCTTCTTTCGTTTAATGGTTCTTCTCTCGATAAGTCGTTGGCTTAGCCATTCTGTTGCTTTGAGGTAGATCAAGCAATTTGTTGCAGAATTGATGAGTATCATCAAGTTGCTAATATCAATGACATAGTAATTTGTGTTTTCCCCGATCACTTCAAAGATGTCAAGTGCGAATGTGAGACTTCGAAACGCTAGGAACTTGACTACAAGCATCACAGAGATCACTGTATTCATACTTTCTCTGGTGGCGAACCTATCCAATAAATTATCAGTCATTTGGAAAAGCTGGCGTCGTGATCTGTTGGATCCTCGAAGGTAGAATAGAGTTATAGCGCTGAGGAAAATAATTAGAATGTTTGGTCCCACAGACACCAAAAGCATTCTTATAACAACCCGGTAGTACGAGTAGAACTTGTCGGTCCTGAGCCATGTGAGGGTGAGTTGGAACGAGGAAGAGTTGGTTAATGCGTTGAAGCATGGAGTCGACTTGATTTCGAAAAATGCCGGGAGATTGAAAATGATTGCAAGGAACGATAAGACCAAAGGTGTTCTGAATAACCGGCGATACTTGGAACTATACATGAATGAGATTCGTCGTTCGGCTCGGAATGAAGTGGGTGGAATTGGAGATCGTGAGGATCGGAATGGGTCTCGAGTAGCAATGAATCGTTGCATCGTAATGGAGACCACACACCAAGTCTGAAAATTTAACAGAATTTTTAAAGAATCAAAGGTTTTAATTACTCACTGATGCCGTATTAGCAATGTGCGACAGGGCATGAACCCAGGGTACAAGCGAATTGATGTTGATACCATTCATATTACCCGAAAGTCCGATTCCCTTGAATCCATAGTAGAAAAACGCTGACCACAGAAGTACAGTATCCCAGAACGCGAGAGCCAACATTGAAACCGCCAAAGCGAAGCCGCGGTTTTTGTCGATCGATGTGACGTGTACACTTTTGACTCCATTCAGGTTCCCCATTGTTCCGATAATAATGACCGCACATGTTACGTAACCATTTATGAATGTCGAGAAGTGACTGAAAAAACGATGTAGTTGTGTTTTTCAGTAAAAGAAAATCTGATTTTATAGAATGTCGCTGCTTAACATAATGCGGAAGTTCCCGTCCTTCTGCACTTCTGGTTCAAATTTGATTCTTGTTAGGTCAAAGTTTGAGGGTTTTGAATACCATGAACTCAATAAAAAACGGCGTTCAAAAGAACAAGAATGAATAAATTTGGCTTTAATTTCTTAAAAATACTAGAAAGTTTCGATTCCTCAAAAATACTTAATGTGACTAAACTAGATGTGGTCTGATTATCTAACGAAACCACTCTAATGGCTCATCAACGTTGAGACCATAAATCTCACTTTCTGTAAAATATTTTGTTTGATAACCAAATTTTAGTATTTTTCACAAGAACCAAGATAAATTGGCGCAAATTGAAAGCTAGGAGGATGTTTTATTAGTTATTACGGTAAGTAAACTTTAAGCCCATATATTTCAATTCCTGTAAAAGATAGCAAAAAGCGGTCACCTGATAAAATTTTTTATCATAATATCAAAAATATTTTATCAATTGAATACTTTTAGATATCTTTCACAGGAACCAAGATAGACAGGCTCAAAGTTGAAAGCTAGATGGTCATTCTGTTAGAGTGGTTACGGTAAGTTTAGCCTTAATTTTTCACCTAAAAATTTCGAACCGAAAAAAAAAACTAACGAATAAGTCTTGGTGTGTTGTGGTAGATAGCATTGTACGAGTTGGAAGTCATCAGTATCATTCAGAAGGGGCGCAAGAGTTGTCGTTGTGATAAATCCCATCGTTGCAATTATTACTAACACATTGTCTGTGTTTTTATTTGCTGCAAAATATATTGTTAAGCACGAAAAGTTTTACTTATAAAAAAAGTTAGAAAAAAGATGATGTTGAATCGGACCACTTGAAAGTTTGGAAGGATTGAATTAGAAGATAGAGACGAACCACTTTTTTTTGGGGAATCGTGCCCTTTTTTGCACGAAACCTGACTAAATTACAAATTGAGCCTCTTCTCTCGTAGCACATCGAAGTTCTCCACTCCAAAACGGAGATAGAAAGAAGGAAATAGAGTTTTTTTCCAAATGATTATCCGCAAGAATCAATTTGACTGATACGGAAATGCAGATAAAGTAAGATAAGCAGAATTAGAGACAAAAAATATCAACAAATAGGAATTCGTACTAAAATGGTAATTATAGATAGAGCGAACCCCTCTGCTTAAAGTCCAATTTGAATTTAAATAGAAATTTTCAGTAAATGAGAAGAGATGAGATGAGGGTGGAAAATATAGTTTAGTTTTGCTAAAAGTGCAATTCCCACTACCATAAAACCTGGAACAAAAGAGCCTAGTTATAGTTTAAAGGGAATTCTATTAAAGGTTTTACGGGAATTACGGCTGAGGTTCATTTTCTTTACCATCCTAAACTACCGTAACCAAAAACACTGTAGTATAAGGCCACCCTATACATGAACTTTGAGCCTAATCATCTAGGTTCTCATTAGCGATATTTAAAATGTGTCGACTAATAAAATGTTCAAGATTTATGATAAAGAAATTAACGACTTTTTGATACCTTTTACAGAAAATGAGATTTACGTGTTCAAATTTAAAAGTTAGAGGGCTTATCCATTACAGGTTTCACTGCAATTACTGCTAGGAATTATCCGCTTTGCAATGTTAAACTACCGTAACCGTAAACACTCTAGTAGAAGGCCTCCTTGCCCTTCGAGCTTAATTATCTTTGCTCCTATGCAAGATATCAAAAATATGTTAACTGGTATAATATTTGTGATATTATTATTAACACTTTATTAATTGACAATTTTTTGATACGTTTTGCAGAAATTGAGAAAACTGCAAGTAAAGGGTGGTCTTCTATTAGAACGTTTCCGGTAAATGAAAAAAAATTTTTAGTAGTATTTGAACTTCAGAAAATAGTGAAACCTTACTTTTCTTTGTTATAAAAAGAGCAAGCAAGTATAACATGTATTGTTCTCCTTTTTATGCAAACATGTACATTTCTAGATAATGAAAAGTGATCTCCTAGCTAATTGAATGGAGGACACGAGAAGCAAATCTCGAGAATCTTCTGGAAATACCAATCTGAATAATGCAGGACTACCAAGATGTGCATGACAAGAAAACTTCAAGAAGGGCACACCGAAGGAAAAAAAATGGAAAATGACGAAAAATGGTTTATGGAGGAGAGAAAGGAAAGGGAAAACTTGGTTCAATTCAATTGGATTGGTAGGAGGAGGAGAAGAAAAATAAAGTGAAGTAGAAGAACAAGAAGAAGATAAAAAAGAAAAATGGGGGTAGGGAAGGTATGGGAACATAGAGTACTGATCTGGGGATATCCAAAAAATCCAAAAGGAGCGAGATAAAATGGGAGATTCGAGAATAACACACAGGAAATCGAGAAGCGGGAGGAGGGAGCACATGTCCGGGCGGGCTTCCCAACTGATGAATGATGCTTTCATTTCCGGCAGCCATCATCTTTTGTCATGTACCAGAGAATGGAGAATGAGACAGAATGGATGGGGTGCATTTTTCGCAAAAAAAGATTGGAATTTTTCGAGAAAAAGATTGAAATCGACTGTGAGTGGGTTGGATTGTTGGTTGGTGTCAAGATTCAATTAAATGTATTCGGATGGTGCCAACCCTGACTTATCTTGTTAAGAGAGGGGTGAAATGGCATTTAGGGTTTGAAATCGGGTCAAACCGGAGCTTCTGGTAAAACCATTTGCCCAGCTACAGTACCTCTTAAAGGAGGGGAAGCAAGAAAAACTATTTTTCTAGAAATTTTGTTCATATCTAAAAAAATCCAAAATGTTCCATTTCTAGATACTTCTAACATTCTGAAAATGCTCTAAAAACTTCAAAAACATTTTACCACCGAGAGAAATCATCTGGCCTTGAGATTCCCAGGTTTTGAACCGAAAATCCCACTGAGCCATCTGAGCAAAATCTTTAAAAAGGCTTCAAAAAGTGCCGAAATCGTGGTTTTTATTTATTTTGAGGGGTTCTAGTGTCGAAAAATGGCGTTTTTTTGGTGTTCAAATAGCCTTTAACAATTAGGTTTTACTTTGAGAATCGAAGCCTCTGAAAAATTTCAAATCGCTGCAATTCAGCTAATTTTGAAGCTAGAAAGGCCCCGTTTGGCTGGATTTTTTTGGAATTTGTTGTGGGTCCACCGTTGGAGGTGCCGCGTTACTACCAGCTGAGCTACAATGGCGCAAGCCGCGTAGCATCATATCAAGTTACTGTACCCTATCTCAAGATTTCATTTTGTCTGATAGTGAGAGCTTAAGAAATTGTAAAATATTCAGCAAGAATATAACAACTACTTTTCTAGCTTCTTCAAAGTCACGAGCTTAGACACCTATTCGAACTCTCTATTTAAAAACTTGAAACTTCAAAAACCAGTTTTCTAATCATAAATAAAAACTTCTAATCGTTGACCCCACTAAAATAGCCGGAAATATAAAGGACGACGATACATTCTTCTAGTCCAACAGACATGATCGAAAAGATCCTATTCATACATAAAAGTTTAATGAATATATCTGTTTTGCGTCCTTTTCATGAGAATCGCGCTCTCAAAATAAAACAGGAACTTTATATATTGGTAAGGAAAACTACTAGTAGTAGGCTGATGGGGAGTACGAGAAAGGCAAATGAAAATGACACAAAGTTCAGGAGCCGTCGGATAAGGACCTATCCAATGCTCCTGAGTTTGACAGACGACACGTCTCGATGCTCGCGATATTTGTGGAATTGACTTTGATGGAGACTTGTAAAGAATTATGGGACTTGGGATTCTAGAGAGTTGCATTTAGATTCCGTTAGCCCAGGGAGTGAAACAGTAACCGCTTGACCTGAGTATCGTCGCTATGAATCTAAGACTTTGAGCATATTCTATAACATTTTCACGGTCTCTAACAATATTAATGAAAATCAAATCACGAGAGATTTTTTCAATACGTCAGATTAGTAGTTGTCATATTGTCGTACATAAAGTGGAATCTGTTTTTGACATTTTGCTCAAGGAACAAAAGTTTTGAAAAATAAGTTTTTTTTTTCTAGATTTTTGGGATCCTAGCATATTCTGGATTCATTGGAAAGGTCTGCTATTTAGCGATAGAAAGAGAAAAGCCAAAAAATGAGTTAAAGGAAAGGAAGCGCATTGATCACTCTCTCTCTTCAAAGCCTAAATGACGTGCGTCATCAGAGAAATGGGCTACTCTTTTCAAAAAAAAGTTTTCCAGTTAGTTTTTTTTTCGCTGGGAAATGGGGTGGAAACGGAAGAAGCAGATATACAGACTCCAGTTCGAGTGACTTCTGGAAAAAGCAAAACAAGAGCATTCTGGAAGACTTTGTTTCCAGAAAATTAGTAATGAATTCTGCAAGAAGACTCAAAGAATAGGATTCTTACTGTAGTATTTGTTTTTCCGGGTTATTCTCACACAAAAATCCTAGTTGATCCTATGGATTTTGATTCCGATTCCGAGGTGTCGAAAACCGAAAATTAATTAGTAAAAAAATAATTAGTTTTCTTCCTAAATTTTTTGAAAAACAATGAGTGTCCAAAAATTTTTGGTAATGCTGAAATTCGGGCTGGCATAGGTTTCTTGAAAATATGGTTATGACGCAATGACTCATGATACAAAAGGATGGATAATGGAAAAAAGAAATAATAGAAAATGAAAAACAAAAAGTCTTAAGGTTTTTGTTATTCAGAATAGGATTGTTTACCCTAGAACGGTGAGAAAAGTTAGATTAAAAATTCTAATGGGTTCGAACTTTAAAGGAGGGAAAGAAATGAAAAAAATATATTTCTCGAAATTTCTTTGTTACCGTAAAACCTGTATTATAAGGGCCGGTCCTTTTGTTGTTCCAAGGTACAATCAGAGGGCCTACGGGCCCTTATTTTTTAACAATCTTTTTTTTTCAAGATGTTTCATCAAAAATTTCGGTGAATTTCTGTTCAAAATTCATGAAAATTCATCAATTTCACCAAAATTGATTTAGTTAAATAAACCAATTTCTGAGAAAAGTTGTAATTTCAGGAATTTTTTTCACTGAAAAGTACTGTAATCTTTAAATTCAAACAACGCATTTTGAGGGGAGCCATTTTTTTATAGGGGTCTTCTATTTTTTCAATCCCCGTTTGGAGGGCCATTCTATAAGAGGTGCTTTTCTAATACAGGTTTTACGGTGTTCGCCCCCTAGGAGTTGAACTAGTGGGCCCACCTGGAGGTTCCGCATCGCTACCAGCTGAGGCGTAATCCGATTGTTGTCATACCAGAAAGCTGGTGCGCCTTCGGCGCGATTCAGTTTAGTTTTTTTACTGTTTCGTGACTCCGCTCTTTATTTTTTTTCTCAAAGGGTCACGTAAATCCATATTTCTTTTTAAAGCTTCTCAAAAGTCCACAGCCTGACATTAGGACGGACAGACGCGTGTAGCTTTTTATATATATACATATATAATATAAGGAAGATAAGACCTGTAATAGAAGGGCCCCGGATGTTATCAGGTTCGAGCTCAATTATCTCGGCTCCTATTAGAGGTATCAAAAATGTGTCAACTGATAAAATGTTTGTGATATTATGTTAAACAATTTATCTTGTTGATAACTTTTTCATATCTTTGGCAAGGAACCGAGGAAAATTGGCTCTATGAAGTTCTATACCCTCAAAAAAATGTTGTTGATGATATTTATTTTCCTAAGGTCTCATTTAGGTCACAAGTAAGTTTATCTCGCTGTTTTTCCCTACTCAAAGTTGTAGCGTATTGTCTCAAAAGTGTCTTAGCATATAGAGTATCACAGTATAGAGAGAGAGAGGTGTCAAATTTCGAAAAAATAAGATGAGATAGACTATAAAATAGTTCTTTTCCGTTAAAAGATATAAATAAAAATGAAACGCTTAAGAAAAATACTAGCATCGTACCTGTCGTAAAACTGTCAATGTTGATTAAGGCTCTCTTAGAACTGACATCATTTTTTTCAAACATACATAACATGACAAGAATCATCATCGGATTTTGTACCTCATGACTTCTAGGTTTCAAGTGGTTGTAGAGTGGCTAGGCAGAGGGAACATGCTAATCGTATAAAAACGTAGAGCATAGAAAAATAACGAGATCCTGTCAGTTTCAGGATTCTGAGAACCACTAAAGTTACCAGAGACTAAAAAAAGAAAAATAAGTTTAGTCCCAAAAATCCCAAGGAAACCGCCCGAGGGAGGGTACAAAATGAGTCACAAGTTGAGAGACCAATTTTATTCGGACGACTGGGGGATAAGCCAGTTCGGATAAGAGATGAAGAAATTTCAAAATCAAACTGAAACACGAGACATACACACTAAAAGTGTCTATGTTTACAGTTCGTTTGGGTGGAAGGATACAATTTACCAGAAAAGCCGACACAGACGAAAAAAGGCAGCGCGGATTTCTCGGAGGGTATCCACACAGTTTAGAGCTGGCTGTAGATAAAAAGAGAGAGAAAGAGAAACTTTCGAATGTTTGCCTTCTTGTCAAATGTACTTGGAGTGAGAAAATCGGTGAAATCCAGAGCTGGAGGGGGAGGTGGTGTGTGAATCGGGTTAGAGAAAAATTGGACAGGTTAGGCTAGACAGAAAGTTGGAAAAATATTTTTTGGCATAAAAAATTTTTTTTTTAACCAAAGTTTTTAGCGCTAGTAATCCTTAACGGCCGGTCGCAGAACTTTGATTACGGTACTTATGTTGTAGGTAGGACACGGCGGCGTAGCGGTCTTAGTTGTTTGTGGTAAGACTTCCATTCGGTCAGGAAATTTAACCGGCCGACCGACCAAATTTGTGCATTTGCGCGTCAACATGACAGAGAGTGTTTGCGTACACAGCATTGTATTTTACGACAGACTGTTCACTAAATGCCACCTCAGCTCAAATCGGCCAGCTCGGTCGGCGGTGGGCGATTTTCGACGGACTGAAAAAGAAGGCTTAGTTTTTTTTGTTTTTCTTTTGGGTCGCTGAGCCTATTCTTAGAAGAACGAATTGATTGGTCCACGGCAACCTACCAGCGGCTTGAGTAACGGTGGGCCGCGTCCGGCCGCGGCCGGCTATTGGCACAGCCTAGTTTTAACCTCCTTGTGAGTCGGAAACTAAGCTTGGCGCCTCAAATAACTGAATTCTGAGTTGCCCTACCTAGTACAAAAGTAACCGAACCTGAAATTGCAAACTAGCGGTTCGGTTTCAAAACCAGAGAGTTGTCAAAAACATTTCTCGAAATTTCAGAACTTCAAAACATCAGGTGCCGCTACTAAACCTAACATAAGCAATCGGAAGCAGGCGCGGGTTTTTGGTTACGCTTCTTCTGAGATAGGTTGGATTAGCGGCACTAGAAGTTACCGGGTAACTGAGCTTATTTCCGAAAGAACGAACGGTTTGGTCCACAACAACCTACCCATAGCCTCGACGGCGGCTCTGTTTCTGACAGCCTTGGACCCAAACCACAACGCACAACCCCCCCTTTATAGAATAACGAATCAAAAGAATCACATATTGTTAGCCTAGACATTTCGAAGGCAAAAAAGTGTCCAAAAGCCTTGCACCTTTTGCTCTCCGAAAATCCGGCGACAATTATAAACCGCCTGCGGGCCCATTTTTTTCTCCCACTGTTTGAAACACGTTTTGTTGCCATTTTCACCAACAACGACGGGTCCAAAAATGTGTCTAGTGAAACATGATGAATGAACAGAACGATGTACTTTGTTCCGAAATCTTCGGTGCCTTTTCTGCAAAAGTGAAAAAATGAGGTAAGAAAAAAAATTTGGGCGATGGTGCCAAATTCGGTTTGCACTTCATTTCCTCGGACACTTTTTGGAATAAAACGGAAACCTGGGGAGAAGGCACATACAAAATTAAATTGAATGCAAATTCGATGGAGTAAAGTTGCCAATAGAAAAATGGTAAAAAAAGTTAACTCTAGTGTTAAGAAGGATTTGGGAAAATCGTATAGAAAGGCTGGACCAAAGAGATCAAAAGATCTTTGGGGAGAAGTTATTAAATAATTCTGTCACTTTTAAAAATCATACGGGGTGAAGGAAACGGGAAACACGCCGAGCTTCCTGGTGGGCACATAATTAATTAGTGAGAAAACAAACATACATAGATTCTCGAAGATCTGATTTTTAGTCCTAGAAAGCATTCAGAAAGTTAAAAAACATAAATACAGTAGCAAAAAATGTGACAAACTTGAACAACTTTTCAGATTTAAAAATAATGATTTTGAAGCGAGTTATACCCATGTCAGTTTGGTGGCCTAGGAACCCAAAACTAGGCCACATTTGGCCAAATTGGAAAAGATTACATATAACTCGCTTCAAAATCAGCATTTTTGAAATCTGCAAACTGTTTTGGAACTGTCACACATTGTTCTGTAATACCATATTCACAATTCACTAGTTTTTAGATTTTGGATTTCTAGGTCATCATCTTAAAATGGCCGTTTTGAATTCGGAAAATTGTATTGAAACATTCACTTTTGGCGTTTTTATGACTAACTTAAAATTTTAAAAATACGTCTAGAACTAACTTCCAACTTTGAGCTAATCTATCTCGGTTCGCGTAAAAGATATCAAAAAGCTGTGAATTGACAAAAAGTTCATCGTGAAATGAAAATTATCTTGCTAGTTTGCCACTTTTGAAATCTTTCCCAGTTACCGAAATAAATTAGCTCAAAGGCTCCGATCTATGGAACGGCAAGTCACAACCCTCAACTTGACAACTTTGATCCAACAAACGTTTTTTTTGCAAAAACACTGATTGGAAAAGAAAAAACGAGAAACAAACCCCAGTGTGTATCCTGGGACAGAGGGAGGTCACAACAGTTGTTTCTTGCGAAGATCACACCCCGTGCCAAGTGACAGAACATGACGGGTTGATGGGTAGCTGTAGATCATGCACCACTTAGGTTTGCGGAGCCCTCGCGGGTTTTATTATTGGCATTAAATTGTGATAGTGAGGGAGGAAGGGGAAGAAACCAAACGTTTTTGATGGGATAGAGGGGACTATGGGTTTTATGAGGTGCAAAGAGTATGAACAACAGATGGCATTCAGATCAAGGAAGTTGGGTTTGAGAGTTGGCTCTAGGATCTATATGACTGCCTCAACGTGACAAAATTAGAGAAATTGGGGGGAAACATGAAAATGATGCGTCTTTTCAAGTTTCTCTCCTTGTAGTGCTGCCCCATCGTTAACATATATTTCTCAAGAGAAACTTGAGATGTTTAGATCTTCTCCCTATTTGAATCAACCATGACGTGACCTGTTCTGGAATGGGAACTGAGCAATAAACTTTGGTTTTCGGGAGTTTCGAGGAGTCAAAAACCCTTTACGACATAAGTGGCTTGTGGTTGCCTTGGCGCTCATCGCAGCCGTTTGGTATACAATTATTGATACCGTAAACAACTGTATTATAAGACCCTCTTTAATAGGAAGGTCCTCAAATAGAAGTGCCGTCCGAGAGAGGTTTGGAAAAAAAAAGGCCCTTCTAATACAGGTCTGACAGATTTTCATGAATTTCGAACCTAAACACGTCAACTTATTCGGATAAAAAATGTCCGGATTTTACCAGGTGTCAGTTTTATAATTCCGACAATATGGCGCTATATATGACTTTACATGACTTTGAAAATTTCAGAACTTCTCCAGAAATTAAGACGTTTCGGTCATGCTATCAGAACAAAATTTGGCTAAAGTATCTAGTGACACAAAGAAAGTTTCGAAAATCTATCTGGGTGCATTTCAAAGTGTCTTTTAAAAGTATCCCTCCTACGTCTTCTACGTCTTCGAGCATTTTTAAGAGGCGGGCTCATCTTTCAAATGGAGAAAATAGAGTAAGAGAGAGAGTTGATTTAAATTAAACGTCGTCGGTGTTTGACGACACTCCGGGAATTGAAAAGAATGAAATTGAGCGAGAGGAGTTTCTGGAACTTTTTCCGTGTGTTTGTTTTCTCGCCAAGAAACCGCATACGCCTCCGACGTCTTCTGGACGCACGCCTTCTGATTCCTTTTAAAAGCAACAACATCAATGCACGAAATGAGATTTTCCTGCGATGGTGGCGAAGGGGGAAAGGAAATTGAAGAATTAATTGAAAGCTAACAAAATCTTCCCCCAGCACCCGTCACCAAAATCTTCGTTTTCTTCTTTTTTTTTTGTTTTCCCCAAGACTAAATTCCGAGAATCTTTTTCCTGAATGCAATTTTTTCAAATAGGCGAGAGAAACTTTTTGAATGAAAAAAAAAAAATAAAAAAAGATGGAAAAGTATCAAGAATATCGAATATCCATTTTTTCTCGAGCGCCAATTAGTAACTCAATATTGTCCGACAATTGCACGTCTTCAATTATTCATCAACTCATTTTCTCGCACCACTTGTCCTTATAAAGAGCCTTTGTGTCTTCTTATAAACATGGGGAATATATGAGAAACAGAATAAAATCATCAAAGAAAGATTCAATTTATGAGAAATTTAAAAATTCAGAATCCTCAGAACATTCCAAGAATGAATGAATTGTTGTTTGCCTAGATGTTGCAACACATGCTTTCTTTGCTTTGTCCTAAAATTGGAATCGCGGGGACAAAGGGACCACGTGGGTTTCAGAAAATGATGACCTCTTTGAACTACAGGAGGCGTCGCTGTGCAGTAAAATAGACATAATTGCATTTTCTTTGGTTTTCGGAGAGTCATGTGTGGTGGAGATTTTGTGGAGATTTTTGGCAGAATTTGAAAGAAGAGACATCAATGGGATGAAGTATAGAATAATGGCATCTTTGTGACCTACTTAGCTTTCAGCGATTCAGTCAAAATCTTGCCTGGATCTTTTTTGACTTAGTCAGCGTTAGCCAGAATGAGCGAGCGTGAGCCAGCGAGAGTCAGCGTAAGCCAGCGTGGCTGACCCAGAGTCGATCTAGCAAAGATTTTGAGAACTTGCGGGGTCAGAAAAAAGTCAAAGGCTCACTTTTTTGGCAAAGTAACTAAGAACCGAGATTTTGGAAGTCTAGCTTCAGCAGAGGCGGATCCTAATGCCCAAGTAAAAACAAAAACAAAAATTTATCAATTAAAAGGGACCAGCCAAAGACCATCCTTCAAATTTCTTACTGTAGATCTCGAGAAGCATCAGTTTTCTGATCATTGAAAAAGTAGAAACATTGAAGAAGGGGATGGCAAGAAAGAAGGAAACGGAAAAGTGAAATTCAATTGTTTTTTGATGAGTGGGAGTTTTTTGCTTTCATAGTAGGAAAATGTGTGGTTCGAATTGAAGGGATGAGCAATTAGGCTGGTAAAAACGCGGCGAAGAGTCTTGAAAGCCGAGGAAGGCCGGATAAGGATGCTTCATGGAGCAGAAATCATTATTGAAAAAGGGCAAAGTTTAGCTTGTCTTAGAGCTAGGACAGAAATAGTGGGTGTAAGGTTTGAATTTTTTTCATGAAAATAGAAAAATAGAAATATATTTCTGATTACCGTAAAACCTGTAATAGAAGGGCCCTCTAACTGTCATCTTTGAGACCGTATATCTTGTTTCCTATACAAGATATCGAAAAGTTGTCAACTGATAAATGTTTATCATAATATCATATTTTTTGCCAGTTGATTATTTAATGATATCTTCTACGGGAACCGAGATAAGTTGTTTCAAAGTTAAACGTTTGGCCTAGATAAAAGGAGTTAGATACATTCCTGCTTATTAATGCAAACTGTAAAACGAAGAACCCGGATAAAAATAAAACAAAGGAAAAATTGAAATTCCCAAGAGAATATCATTAGGACGGTTGTCTAGATTGGTATGTTTCTTTTTTAGAAGAGAGCAATGCGAACCCATTTTTTTTTGAGGACGGCAAATGCAATTTAAGGAACTCTTGTGGTACTTGGAAAGAGTTTTTTTTGGGAATGAGATTGAGAAGACGGGGTTCCGGCCAGTGAAAAAAAAGGAAAAAAATCAACTAGAGAAATATATTTTTAAAAACCACTCTTCCAAAAGTCATACTTTCCTCCTAAAAATAGATTTCCTTCTGTCCCTTTTTGTGTCTTTTGATGTGTTGTCAAAGAATGATCACCTAGAAAAAAGAAGAATCAAAAAAAGTGAAGTGTTAACGAGCGGACACTTAGTTTAACAGTTAACACTTGCTTCAAAAACGCTCTAAAACACACAGGAGATACACAAAAATATGTCAATGGGTCAAGTAGCTCACTGTGATCAAACAGTAACAAAAAAGACGTCAGGAGGGTTCTCCCCGGGGTTTTCAGGAATTATATGATCACATGAGACTTTTAAATTTCAGCCGGTTTATCTAGGTTCTTGGGAGAGATATCAAAAAATTTTACTGATAAAATATTGATGGTATTATGATAATTATTTTGTCAGTTGAACACATTTTGATATCTTTGACAGGAAACGAGATATACGGGCTCAAAGTTGGCGGTACGGTAGTTAATAATTTTCAGGGAATGACCACCGAGGACTTCAATGTGCTCCTGCGAAGTATGGAAGGCCAATTTCAAATCAATCTCGCTAGACCGTGGGCCCATGAAAGCGACCAAGGAGGTGTTCAAAGGTTGATAGCAGACAATGCTATCATTGTGAAAAATAAAAATTTGGTCGATGAAAAGACGGGAAGAATCAATTCGAATTCAAATCCAGAGGTGAGAAAATAATTATTTTATAGAACGGAATTGGTTGACCTGAGTCATAAAACTGATTTCGAAAGTAATGGGTAAAATTTAATAATTGACGAACTTTGAATATTGGGAACGAAATGAGTAGAGTAAAAGTTAAGGCAATATTACTTTCTGTCGTAGGCAATAAAACCACGGCCGGACGGTCGGAAAACTGTCCAATCTTTTGAAAATGGGCATAACCAGAAAAAAAAAATCGAAAGTCGGCATAACCAGAATCTTCTAGGGCCGCTAGGCTTCCGAATCCTACCCATCCCAAAAGTACCCTAAACAAAAATCCGCGGTCCCGTTTACTTGCCTTAAAGTTATGACGCCATCTTTAAGGTTCTCATACCAAAAGTTATCATACCAATATACCATAAAACCTGTATTAGAAGGGTCGACCCTTCTGTTGTTCCGAGGTACCTGCGGAGGGCCTTTTGATTATTATTATTAATGTTACAGGGGTCCTTCAATGAAAGAGTTCCTTCTAATACAGGTTTTACGGTAATCAGTCCCATTAGATTAAATTTCCTGAAATAACAATTCCCGAACGAAGCTGGCTCCCCGCATGATAAGTTGCATGAAAATTTTTTTCGCTCTCTTCTTTAGGCGATTCTCTAAAAAAAACCAAAAATCAAGATCATGAGAACAAATAAACATCTTGACATTTAGCAGAACTTTCAATTTTTCGAATGTACAGTAAGAACTTTCGAAAAACATATCTGGAAAACAGGAATCGAAACATCGATTTTCGGTATCGTACGTGGTTACAAACATCCTCACTCTTTCTGTACTCAAAAGTCTCAAACAAGAGAAAATTTCGATATATCGAAATGAATCTTTGAACCCAACAAAAACGAATAAGAGCTCTCAGGAGACACTGATACAGACATACCGCAAATTGTGTCAAGAGGCGCAGCAGAGCTCCTCTTAATGTTGGTACATCCACTTGACATTCGAAAAATCGGTTCAAATTTGTATGTGTTTAGTGTTTACTAGGGTTAAATCAATTAGAAAAAACGATGTAGATCCAAACTGACACGTAAGAAAAGATAGAGGAGTTTGGTTTGGCCGGAAAAACAAATCTAGTGTGATCTTGTCCTTGTTCTCGAAACCTATTGAGCCACAAGAGAAGGCTCAAGAGAACAAAAGTATCTCGTTTCCCTGCGCTTATCACTGATACCGAGGTCTCAAGGTTGTAGAGGTTAAAGTTTACTTTTACAGATCCTCAAAAAGATTTGCTCCTACGTACAATGCGAAGGGGTTGGTGACCAATGCATCGACTCGTTTGTACCGTTTGGACATTGTTGTCCGGTTTGTGGAACTCGAATCAATTTCTACGCGGTTGATTTGAATATTACTGCTGCGAAATATGAGTTTTTCTTAGCGATGAAACGTTTGGAAAATAGTCCAGAGGTTTTTGGAACACTGGAGAAAACGGCAAAGGATAATCTTGGAGCGGAGTATGAGGTACAGATGCACAGTACTGGTCAATAAAATAAACAAAAACGTATTTTTCAGTTGATTTTCGGTAATTTTCAGGAGTCTGGAGCTCGGCTGTCAAGATTCCGATCACCTTGAAAACTTTGGAGGGTGTGAAACAGACCTAGATTGAACTTGAATTTACAGAGCTTTTTGGAAATTTCCAGTTTTTCAGCTTCTTGCCGATTTCTAAAAGACATACCGTAAAACCGGTATCAACCTTTTTATTGTTCCAAGGTACTTCTGGAGGGTCCTTCAATTAGAGAAGGCCATTTTTTCAGCCGTTTTTTCTGAAATTTCCGGAATAATTTTTACTGAAAATGGACGGAAATTATTAATTTCAAGCAACATTTTTTGAAGAGAGTTCTTATATTACAGGGTTCCTTGTGTTTTTTCAAGCTCCTTTCGGAGATCCCTTCTATTAGAGAGGCCCTTCAATTAAAGGGGCCCTTATGATACAGGTTTTACATATTATATGTTTTTTCACGTTTTCAGTACAAAAACGTGCCAAAAAGGTTTTATGGTATGTCTTTCGAAAATTGGAAACTTGACAGCCGAGCTCCAGACTTTTCGAAAATTACCAAAAAATGACCTAAAATGCGTTTTTGTATATCTTATTGACCGGTACTGTAGAATAACGAAGAAGAATCTCAATGAATCCGAAAAATTTCAGATCGCTATCATCAATACACACAATTCGACATACGATGAAGATTTTCACAAGCTGGCTGAGAAGGAAATGGCCAAGGAGCTTCTAAAACTACTTTCGAAACAACTAACATCATTTGGAACTATCAAAACTTTCTCATCCAGAATCGACAGAACCATCAAGACGTCTTCTAAAATCGCGGCATCTCTGATCTATTTCACTGTCATTGTAGTGCTAGTCGGAATGTATGCGTATCGATATGGAGATTTAAGACTTCCACGGTATTTTTAGAAACTTGAAATCTGAGGCCGTATGCAAGAAAGTGGAAAACCATTTTCCGGTGTTTGGAAAATGGTTTTCTGAGAGCTTTAACAGATTTTTTTTCCTTTTGAAAATGGATTCTGGGCTGAAAAATGACTAAAAGTGAATATAAGCACTGTGAAAATTCTCTCCAAACTATCGGAAAACCATTTTCCAAACACCGGAAAATGGTTTTCCACTTTCTTGCATACGGCCTCTGAAGCTAATTGTAAAATTTTTTTTTTTCAGCGCTACTGTATTCACTCCAGTGATCAGGTATAAGAGACAGGAAGATGACGTGGCAATTGAAATGGAAGGAGGTGCAGAAGAAGAAGAGGAGGAACAAGAAGTCTCTGAAAATCAAAGTGAACCTAAAGAACCAGTTGTTCGAGAAAAAGTAGAAGACGTGGAGGACTGGCGGAACATCAATCCAAACTTTGAATTGGCTAGCTCATCAGATAATGACGGAATGACTTTTGAAATGACGGAGAATGTGAAATCATCGGAGCCAGAAATACAGGAGGAAAATCAAAATGGAAAAGAAGGTTCAATTCAAGACCAACTGATTGGAAACGATGGAGTAGATGTTCAGGACGCTGAAAAAGGTCCAGAAAAATCTCTACAAGAGACCGTGGAAGGTCTGACGGAAGAGGAGGAACCTGAAGATACTGAGTTCGGAGACATCAACCCGAATTTTGAGTCTGAATCTGAAATGGACATTGATTCGGTGGCACCTGAGCTGCAAAGTCTATCGGAATCGGAATCGTCATCAACTACAGATGCCAAGTCAGATGATGTTGCGGATCCTAAGGATGATGGTATTTCCAAAGAAAACACGGATCTCTTGGATCTCTGATTTACTATTAGTTACCGTAAAACCTGTATTAAAAGGGCCGGCTCTTCTATTCCAAGGTACCTCCGGAGGGCCTTTCTATTACAGGGAGCCTTATAAAATAGATGTACCCTTCTTTCTTTCCAACCATTGAAATTTTTCATAAAAATTCGGAATTTTTTCTCGTTCAAAATTTCCTATAAATCTACTTTTTCAGCAAAGTAAAAAAATGTTTGAACCAAAAAAGTGTTTTAACATATTTGTGAAACCGTGGAAATCAGGAAAATTTTACACTGAAAACGTAAGAAAATTTTTCAATCAATATCTATTTTTCCAAGCTTCTCTCCGAGGGCCCTTCTATTAGAGGTTCTTATCTAATAAAGGGGCCCTTCTATTAGAGGAGCTTTTATAATTGCCAAGCCCCTCTCGGAGGACCTTTCTAATACAGGTTTTACATTACCGAACATTGATGTTAAAAAAAATTGCGAAAAAAATTGTTCACCATAAATACAGACAAGTGGTCAGACAAGATCAATGGGGGAAGAGAAGTTTAAGGTTATGCTAAAAATCAAAAGTCATCAGAGAAGTTTAAAGAGTTTCAACATGAAACAAAAAAAATAATTTTGGAAGTGTAGGGAAGTATTTTCAGCTAACCAGAACCTAATACAAAAGTGACAACCGGTGTAGGATCACAGAGAATCATACCTAGAGAACTATAGAAAAAAAACATAGAGAGAAAAAATTATTTTTTGGCCTTTGGCATGCTCTTATATGCTTCTGGAACTTCTGAAAGGAGACTGTGCCATTGCATGACTGGTTTGTTTTTCTGAAAATTTAGAAAAACTGTTTTAAAACTACTTTTGCAATCCTACCGTTTGTCCTTCCTCTGGAACTGCCGTCAAACAACTTTCCCATTGGGATTTTCCATCTGTCGTTGGACTATCCTTCCCAAGGATGCAGCAGCCAAGAAGATCATCTTTTCCTATTCTGAAAGCTTTTTTTTTAAATTCAGTTTCTTATTTTCGAGATTCACCTATCCCAATCCATCACTTGCACCAGCATGTTAGTTTCAGCGATTTGGGATGCTGGAATATCAAATACAAGTGTCTCATGGAACACTGGATTCAAGTTCGCTCGTTTTGTTGACGACTTTTTTGATTTAAATCGTTTTCCATTAAACGTTTGCTCGATTTTCACATATGGGTCTGTAAACGTTCCGTTGAAAAAGCTTTTCGAAAATTACCTCCTACCCGACGCTCCAGTGATATCCATCGGTCTCAAGTTGTACGCCTTCGATACGTTAATGTACAATTTCTCCTCCTGGTGTGAGTAGGTTAAGAACAGGAGCAGATCTCCATAGTCGTTCTTGTTCTGGCTTCCAACAATGTGCATAGTGTATTCGGTCCAGGTGTACAAGTCGGATTTTTCGAAGAGGTCGCGCATTATGATATTGCCAATGAGACCATGGCGAGTAAATCGATCGAAATCGTAGACAGTGAACTGAAATGAGAGAGAACTGTTTGTAATAATGGGTAAGAAATTTAGGACACACCTAACCCATGTCAGACAGTTTCGTACTATCCATTACTTGGATAAATTGACTGACTATGAGATTTTCCAGGCACAGTTTCCAGCACATCGAAAAAGGGTACAAATAGTTCGTAGGAAAGGGCAAAAATGCACTTTCGAAGTACCCTTTTTGGATGTACCCTCGGATCCTGCGCCGATTTGGGTTCATGATATTGTTGGGGATCAACTGCAGGTTCACTTGACCTACTGTTGAGGCATTTTGGTTAGAATAATTCTGAGACAGGTAGGATACGGCGGCCCAGAGGCCTTTGTGGTTTCTGTGTTGCTGAACATATTTTCGAAAGAACGGACTGTTGCGTCCAAAATACCCTTTGCGAAATTCACGGCCGTCCGCGACAGCCATTTGCTCAGTTTTGCCTACTGGTCTTGACTAAAGAGTTCCTATTCGGCATCACAGCATACCTGAAGCATTCGATTAGCCAAGTTGTTGAATGTGACGTCGAACGAGAACATTTCATTGAACTCCGGATCATTATTCTTCTTACAAATCCTTGTCTTGCAGTGACCACGTCGCTCCGGTAGCAAATACATTTTTACATAGGGATCCACAGTGGTGCCCTTGTCTTCTACAGGAAGGTTGTTGGCACGGATTACGTGAAGCATGAGTACCCTGGAAGGGATTTCTTTAATGTTTGGTGATAACAGAATAACTTGGTGTCAAAGAGTCCTGGATCCGAGGGGATATCGAAAAAGGGTAAATCGAGTTCTTGTGGTAAATTGGTTCAGAGGGTACAAGCCTATAACTTTGAGAAAAAAAAATCGTCCTTCCACAAGTACCACAAAATTCCATGTACCCTTGGAACCAATGTAACCTAAAAACTAGATGTTTCTTTTTCAATGTACTCTTAGATACTCAAAAAAGTCTTACCTGTGAATGAAATCGTATCTCAGCGCAAAGGTGATCGTTCCGCGAATGCAACTCTCATCCGACTTATCGTAAAAACCCAACTCGTAGTGCATCACAGATCGCTCGTCAATGTCCTCCATCTGAAACAAAAATTGGTGAAAAAAGGATAAACAAAAAGCCATATACGCAATGGAGCCGAAAAACCGAGATCAGTTTTATTTGCCCAGAAATACGCTCTTAATCCATTTTAGGTATGCATATATCGGATTACACTGAACCCATTAAATTGTAATAGATTATTCTCAATTCATAGAAACCCCCTATTTCGGGATCTCGTTTTTGATCATTTGAAATTTCTCTCACCTCATCCATCACTTCGTGATTCCCATCCACATTGAAAAGGAACATCGAATTTCGTAACGATGAGGCGGATCGTGGATCATCGAGATGGTCGGTGCTATCGGAGCTGAAACATTGGAGCATTACGAAAATGAAAAAGGAATTGAGAGAAGAGAAACGCGTCCCTTTTGCTTCCTGCTAATTAAATACTAATCTTTTGATTCTTCCTTTTGTTCTTTTTTTTTTTTGAAAAATAAACTGTATAGTTTTATTTTTCAAACTTACACTGGCAACGAATTGGTTGCGCGGAGCATCATTGTCCTGAAGTTATACAATATTCGGTTTGTTATAAGAAAAAAAATGAGGAAGAGTGAAAAACGATGATGTTGGGGAAATTATAATTTCATGAATGACTGGTTCTACTAATAAGGCTCTTTGGTTGAGTGGTCCGGAAAAAATACTTAACGTTTTGAGAGGTCTAGGTGCTGGATGGGAGCGTAGGTGGACAGAAAATAAGAAGTGAATAAGGCTTGGCACATCTTGGGCGGACTTTTTGAGCTTCTAGCAAGGCTGTGAAAATTTCGACCGCGGTTGGCTGCGGTTCAGACCGTAGTTGACGTGGGCCAGTCAGTTTCTTTCAAAAATATTACCACCGTATCCTTCCTATCCCAAAAGAACCATATTTAAAATGTTGCACCCGGCCGTGACACAGCATGGGCTCCTAGTAATTTCAGTACTAAACTTTTAATAAAATTGATGAGAGAACAATATCTATTAGTTTTCTGATTGAAGAAAAATACTCAAATCAGGTATCCGCTTTCAATAATCTTTCAGATGAAATACCGTGTTGCCTGTAATGAAACAACACTTAACTTTGAATCAATTTATCTCAATTTCTGTCAAAGATATGAAAAAGTTGTCAACTGATAAATTGGTTATCATAATATCAGACGTGTTTTATCAATAGACACATTTTTGATATTTCGCATGGGAATTGAGATAATTGAGCTCAAACTTAACAGTATGAGAGCCTGTCTATGAGATTTTTTACATTGATTCTCTCGACGAAATTCTACAGTTCTGTTCGCAGAATTTTCTAGTGGTAAATATATCTAAAAGTTTCTTTTTAAAAAATCTAGCAAAACACTAATGATCAGTCAAAAGGAATGAGAGAAGTCGGATGAGATGTAGGAGGAGAAGACGGATTTTCGAGAACAGGTGTTCTAGATGAGACGTCATTTTAAGGGTTTACGTTTGAGTGATGTGGTGAGAGCTGACACCTCTGAACAATAGAGCTCTTCAAAAGTTTCGAGAGAAAAGTTTTTCTAAAAACTGCTCAAAAGCTTATGGTGAGCAGTTTTTAGGAGCTGGAGGGACACCTTGGACTTAGTATTTGAATCGAGGTTTAAACTTGATCCGGGAACAAAAGTTATGAAGTGTCACGTCCGTTATGAGTTTAACAAAAGTACACGACGGCTCATAGGAGGTCAGGAAATTTGAGAGCGCTCCCCCAGTAATCCAGGCGAATGTATCACGTGATAAACCGAGTGGAGAGCACAGAGAGGACTTTTCTCTGCTCTTCCAATAATGATCCGGAATAATGTGTTTTGTGTGTGTGTGTGTGCCTCTTTCTTCTGCTCTTGTTTCGCGAAAAAAGTATCAAAACAAAAAAATTGACAAGTGATTTGATGGAAGAATGGAATGCAGTAAAAAGTGTATCTGAATTCATGGGGTACTACTCATTGAGTAGTAGTGGTTGGACTGAAGATTGAGTGAATCACGCAGGTCAAATCGGAAAGATTTCAGAAAGCCATAGCGTATTTTAAGGTTCTTTTTTGGAAATATCGGCTGGAACATCAAGAAAAACATTTAGTTAACTAAATAATAATTATTTGGCTCTGGTTGGTTACTTTGTTTTTGAAACAAAAAATTGAAAAACGCTTTGGATTTCGAAAAAATTGGACTTTACGAAAATTTTGAATTTTAAAGAATATTTTGGATTTTTAAGAAAATATGGGGTTTAAAGAAACATTTTGAATTTCAAAGAGAATTTCGGATTTTGAGAAAAAATTTGGATTTTGAAAAAAATTTTGGATTTTAAAAACCATGAGAAACATTACAATCCCGACATTTATTTGAAATCCAAGATAACTAATTAAAGCCAATACTTCTGTAAATTCACATTGTATGTTGAAGAATAGCATACCGTATACACTCTAATAGAAGGACTGCCTCTAACCCATGACTTTCAACTTTGAGCAAATTTATCTTGGCTCCTGTAAATGATATCAAAAAGTGGTCAATTGATAAAATGTTTGTGATATTATGACAAACATCTTGGCAGTTGATCACATATTGATATTTTGGCCAGAAATTGAGATAAAGAGGTTCAAATTTGGAAGGCATTCTATTGGTTTTACGGTGTATGGCTAAAAAATTCAAACTCAAAAAATGACTCAAATATTTCAGAGAATATAAAAAATTAAATTTTTTAGAAACTGTAACTAGAATTGATTCTAGTCAATATTTTTCTCGAAAAAAAAAATAAAACCTAGAACCAGCTCAAAAAACATGCTGGGACGATTGAGTTAGTCTCTCAAAAATGTATGAAAAATTCAGTGTTATTCAGATGGTGGTGGTGAGAGATTTTCGGCACACACACCCCAGATAGATAGATTTATGTAATAAATCCTGAATTTCAGGAAGCGGAGTGAGTGCTTGAAAATGCTCTTTATTTTTTTTCTGTTTCACGAAATTCGATATTATTTCTCCGGTCCTCTTAGTCCTTATCCTATCTGTTTTGTCCTCTCCTTTTCACTCTTTTTTTCTCACCTCTAAATTTGGAAACAAAGAAGCAGCAGCACAAAATGTGGAGGGTCAAAAAAGCGAAAAAATATATTCATATTCATGAGAAATGTAGAGAGCTCAGAACTTAAATGGGAGAAGTCTGATCCCATAATTTTTTACTGGTTTTTCTTTCCTTTTTTTTTGAGCCAATTCTATTCATTTTTGGGGGGATTAGTAGAACATCTGATATAGCTTTTTTTTTTGAACTTGAGCATATGAGATTTTTTTAAAGAGATTATGAAAAAATAATCTGAAAGTTCTGATACCAAGGGAATCGAAAATTCTGTACTTTAAAGGTGGGGGGACATGAGAAAAATAATGTTGTCGAAATTCCGTGTAAATATGCTTCTCGAGGAGTTGAACTTGTCGAGGCGAGTGTTGAAGGTGCGGTTCCGCTACCGACTGAGCTACGTGTGCAAAGAGAAAGCCGCTGCCCGATTGCATACATAAAGGCGAGGGCGAAAGCTGTACGCAGAGTGACATTAAGCGTTGTACACCGTCACGGTAGAATGCATACTCTGGCCCCAAAAATCCCCCGTAAAATCTCCTGTCCCCCCACCTTTAATAGTTTGGAGAGTTTCAAAAATTAATTTAATCAATTTCTTTATTGAGAATCAGCCAACTGTTTGCCGCGCCTCTGGAGCTTTATTCTGGCTGGTGCGGAGCTTTATTCTGGCTGGTGATTTTTGAAGCTATTGCTTCTTATCAGTTTTGGAAAAATGTTTAGTTCCGGCTCTACCTAACCAGGAACACGAAAGTCGAATTTCAAGAATCGCTACTTATTTGACTAAACTCTAGGCTTATTACTTTATCCAGATTTAAAATAATAAAAATATTATGATAAAACTATGGATAAAGAATGATAGAATCTAATCCAAAGTAATCCCGCTGTTTTCTGAAAATAAAAAATATGAGTTCTCACAATCAGAAATCAACCGGGGAGAAAATTGGAAACTAGAGACTTAAAGGTGGTGTACGGTGAAATTTTTTATTGCATCAAAATGTGCAGAAATGCATGTAGATTGACAAAAAAATAAAGAAAAAAATCAAAAAAAATTCCTTCGGCGAGAAAAACGCATCGAAAAATACGCTGAAAGCCCTTAGGGACTAGGTTTTTTCTAGGCCGCCCGGTGAGTGAAAGCGCGCGAATTCAAACTTTTACAATTTTTTCGCTCGTTTTCACTGTTTTTTCAAAATTTCCGATGTATCTGG